TTCTTTTGGCTCCTCCTCTGGTTCCTCTTCTGGCTCCTCTTCTGGCTCCTCTTCTGGCTCCTCAGGCTCTTCTGGCTCCTCTTCTGACGGCTCCTCTGGCTCCTCTTCTGGTGCAGCTCCAGGTGGCTCCTCTTCTGGTTCCTCTTCTGGTTCCTCAGGTTCTTCTGACGGCTCCTCTGGCTCCTCTTCTGGTGCAGCTCCAGGTGGCTCATCTTCAGGTACCTCGTCCCCTGGTGGTGCAGCCTCGAGTAGTTCGCCTGCTGCCGGTGCTAGCAATGCTGCTTCAGGTAGCTCGCCTTCTACCGGTGCTAGCGGTGCCGCTTCTGGCAGCTCAGGCAGCTCGCTCCCAAAATGGGTCGGCTACAATGCTGCAAATTCCAGTGTTACAGAGACCGCATACTCTCCTTCGACTACAGTGGTTACTATCACGTCTTGCGCCGAAAATAAATGCTCGGAATCCGTGGTCACCACCGCCGTCGTTACCGTCACAAAAGACTCCACAGTTTACACCACCTACTGTCCACTTGCAACCGAAAATGCTTCAAATGCTCCTTACACCCTTTCGTTCGGTGGTCCCTCAAAAGCTGTGCAACTGGCCGTTTCTTCGGCACAACAACTCGCTTCTAACCTTCACTTTGGTGCCACCGCCTCAACATCAGGAGCCCAGTCTTCAAGTGTCAGTTCTGCCAACACTACTCCCTCGACCCAAGGGTCCAGCTCAGAAGCTTCTTCCACCTCTCCCGTGGTTCAAACCTTTTCTGCTGGCGGTTTCGCCAACAACGTGAAGCCTGCCCACTTGGTTGGTTTGGCCGCTCTAATGCTCCTCTAATGAAATCAAACCCTCAGAATTCAGCAAAAGAATCCATAATATCGACTTGTGATAGCTGTCAGGGCTGGCTGCTGTCTTCACGCGTCTTCAAGTCGAAGAATTTCCATAAAATAAGAAATACGTAATATCGAAAAGGTGAGGGAGGCTTGGAATTATCGCTCCACCTCGCCAAGTTCGTCATTTCAACCTAAAGCATCTGCCGAAGCAATCCTTAATGTGAGGCATGATGCCTGTCAAGGGTTCTGCACCGCTTTAGAGGGGCTTTTTTAAAGTATTTCATTCCAACAGCGTCTTTAATTAGCAGCCTGGAATGGCACGAATAGTTTTTGGGACTGCTTAAACATGCTTGTTGGCCACTTTAACCACCTATTCAACTACCCAAGGCTTCTTTCAACGACTTTCATGAAATGAGATTTTTAAATTGAAATATATGTTTTTGGGCTTGAAACGTGAAATCTGCGCAACCTCCATCTACCTCTTTGACAGATAAAGACCAATCAGGTGGGCCACCGCAGACATCCGCAGTGATTTTGACTGGACGGGTTGGGAAAGGAGGCAGGGCAATTTTAACTTCGTAAGTCGATACAAAAGGTAACATTAGAAAACTAGGTACAAAGCTTGCACAGGAACCGGCGATGCTTCCAGCTATTGTTAGGCGGGCTCATCGGTTTCAGACGCAGATATTTCTTCCTGTGCCCCACAGGGCCACGGAGCTCTAATAAGTTCTTTATGTCGGTTCTGGGCGGAGTATACTATCTACATAGTGACGAGAAAGTATTTATGTGTCCCGGTCAATTCTAACATGCGACTTCGAGCGCATCACTATATAGTTCTACTAGAGAGATCAACGAAGTTGTTTTCAACCTGAACGAAAACAGTGCATTCTAAAAGACAGGTAAACACCACAAACTGATGTTAATGTTTTGAAGAAACTCATCAACATCTGATCAAAAGTGCATTACCTAAGGAAGTGTGTCCACGATGAGAGATATTAAACGATACGCACCACATATAAATCCGCAAGCTCGTTCTCGGAGCTGGGTTTCAAATTAGAAAACCGTCGCAGCAGTCTGTCGCGAATTCTCAATAGTGACGCTACCCATTAGGTACTCGTATGCGTATGAAGCGACGACCCATTTCGACTGCCTAAAGATCCGATCGGTTATGGATCGTACCCGTTTACGATCCGGTTACCCGGCCACACAGTATCCGAACCCCATTAAAATCCATTTATGGGTTTAAAAGTGAGAATGGTTTCCACCCTATTACCCTGCTTTCATCATTTTCCAAAAAGATGGTTGCTAAGAGATTCGAACTCTTGCATCTTACGATACCTGAGTGTTCCACTGTTAAACAGCGTTAAGAAGCAAACTTCTTGAATCAGGCGCCTTAGACCGCTCGGCCAAACAACCGTATCGCTGGAATACTAGCGAGTGCTGTATCTATAAAGGCGCGTTCGCTTCAACGAACCTCTTACAAGCCCACTTCTGGAAACTCCGGACTCAGCTCCAGGATAGTCGTGCTCTCGGTTTCTGAGGATGATTGGTTTTGCTGCTGATGAAAAATGTGGATGAACTAACTGATAGCTTGCGTCTGGTTTATTGGGCCAAATTCATCTACAAATATATGAAAATTACGAAAGACGTATTTACTACAACTAAAAGAACGAAGTAGTCCGTTGCCGTCGGTTGACAGTTCTGCAGCTTTTGGTTTTATGATGATCAGCAAAGATTCAGGTGCTTAATTTGATTCGCCGCATTTGAATCGCAAAAGCTCCAAAACTTGGCTAATGGCCGAAATATGCTAATCAGTATGTGATAAGCTGACCTAATAGGGCCTCTGATCACAGGGAAGAGACTTTTTCGAAAATCAAGTCTCGTTCTTGGAGGTGCTTGAGGAATTTGCGCCAAATTTTACTGTTTTTCAAAGTTTCTTTGTCTCCTACGACTGCCAACGCCCTTCTGGCACGCGTCAGAGCCACATTCAAGCGTCTACGGTCTGTCAAAAACCCAAGAGACGCTTCTGAGTTGTTACGTACGCTAGAGAAAATGATGACATCTCTTTCGTGGCCCTGGAACGCGTCAATCGACGACACGTAAACGTTGTTGATGTTGATTAAAGTGTTCGAGACTGAATTGTGCTCACGCTCGAGACCGGATCCAATAACGTCCTCGATGTCCATTTCAAGTGCGGGTTCTCTGATGCGAGGATTTATCACGGGATCAGATTTCAGTAACTTTGCCACGAGCTCTCGTTGTGCCGCATAGGGTGTAATCACGGCAATTTGGCTGTGTGAGAATTGCTTCTCTAACAGCAGGTTACGCACCAGCTCGCGCACGACACGAGCCTCACCGGGATTTTGAATTGATTTATGATCGGCTTGATTAAGCGCGCCAAGTTGTTCGACTGTCCGTGCACATTGCAGGAAAAAAAGAGGATGCTTAATCTGCGGGTGCTTCCTGTCCTCGGCCGTGCAACCGTCTGTCAATTGGCCGTTGTATATCGCAGTTCGAGGGAATTCACTTATTTGCGGATGCATTCGGTATTGCACCCGCAACATGAGATTAGCTCTGGAAACGCGATTTGTTATGAGCCGCTCGAAAAACGATAGTGTTAAACCCGGAATGCTGTTGGCACATGACAGTTGTCGTTCGTCGCCCAAAAGAATGACTTTCCTGACATTGGGCAAAGTCAGTGGCACTAGTGCAGAAGGTTCCGTGGCCTGTGTGGACTCGTCCATGATCACAACCGGGAACGAGCGCAAGCATTTTAGCAAAGGTGCGCCTGCTGCCACGTTGGTGGTCAAAATCACTTTCGCCTTGCGAATGATCTTTTCTTCGATGAGCCGCCTTTGTGTCTGGAACGCCTTAAAATCTGCTGGGCTTATTTTCGAATAGCGGCCAGCAATGAGGTCCTCAAAGGAACGTTTGGGCATGTCAGTGAGATGTTCGTACATTTTCAAGTGCAAGCAGATATCCTCCAGGACATGGCCGTGCCAATAGTGAGGCTCTTTGCTGATGGATACCACTCTCAAAAGATCCCGTTTGGCGATCGGAGATTTGTCGGCGAGCAGCTTTTTCGCGATATTGTCGATAGCAACGTTTGAGGGCGCAACGCACAAGATGGGGAGCTTGGATTTCTCCTGTAAAAGTTGCGCAATCATCTCGACAATCACGGTGGTTTTCCCGGTTCCCGGCGGGCCTTTCAAAATGGTTATTTTGTTCGATAGTGAGTGTGCTACAGCGTGACGCTGGTGTTTGTTGAGCGTAGCGGTGGAGCACTCGAACTGCGCGCGACCGGGCTTGTGGTGCAGCGGCTGTTTGCACATCACCACTGTCTGCAGCCTGCTGTTTTGCACGTTGAGAAGTGCGTCGAGCATTCTGCGTGTCTGCGCACCGCATATGAGCACCTTGAGTCCGTCTGTTTGCGAGACGAGTGTCTTCAGGGGAAACCAAGAGTACGCGGTGAGATTCAGAGTGACTGTACGCCCTTTCGTTTTGAAGCTGTCCACTTTGGCCGCGCAGACACAGGAGTTTTTTGGTGTAGCAAGAAACACGACCTGACAGAGCGCAAAGGGCGAAATCACGTAAGGTTTGCACGGTAGTGCGCGCACTTTGTCGTCGTTGACGTCGAATCTAACCTGCACGTTGATGCCATCAAACCTGGTCACTTGCTTGGGATCCAGGAAGGGACTCTGTGCTTTCACTTGCTCGTGAAATAGTGCCTGCGTGAAGTAACAACGGTGGTGCGTCACGCTTTGGAAATGGCGACCTGCGGGCTTGAACGAGACCTCCTTCCCCTCCTGCTCCCACGCCTCCAATGTCTTGAACGCCTCCAACGCCGCCAACGCCTCTGACACCTGCGACGTTTCCGACGTCTCCAACGTCCCTATCGTCTCCGTCCTTTTCGCTTCGCCAACGTCTCCATCCTCGCCCAAGGAGAGCGACGGCTGGGAGACTTTCTCGAACATCGCCCGGGGTTCAAAGAATTCGCAATTGCAAGATTTAAGGCAAGCGGTCCCAGACCACAGGACATCCATTTATACACGGATCTGCGATCCTCCAGCTTGCGCGGTTTGCGGCTTCCTGAACCGCTCTGGTCGTCGGTTCCGCGACGGCTTTCATGACTTCGCCATGACTTCGCCGCGACTTCGCCACGATTCGCCACGAATTCGCCATGACTTCGACCGGGCCTCACCGCGGCTTCGCGGCTACGAGCGCCGCACACAGGCACCCATTGTTGTTTCTTTTTTACCTGTCTGTTCTCAGCCGTATTGTCGTATATAATGCGCACCCGGATACGGCGGCTAAATTCCGAAACCGTGGCGCGCGACTTGGCACGTGACTAACACCGCCGTATACGACGATGTCGTTCTGCACTAACTCCGCTCCGGGCGTCTTACGTAAACATCAGTATACACGTCATTCAACCCGTACACCCACAAACTTCTTATCTGCTTTCGCCCGGACCTCTTATCGGATCTCGACATGCCCCCTGCTTTCCTTTTGCCAACGTTTTGAAACGCCCGCTTTCGTGGGAAAGGCCAAAAAGTCGCAGGGCTGGGCAGAGCCAGGCTTCAGATCCCTCGGTACGAGTTAGCCCCCTGAATTTCAGGGGGCTCAGGGGCAGTTTCAGTAATTAATCGGCTATATAAGGACGAGCAACTTTGGCGGGTGGCGTTTACTTCTCCCTGCTACTAAAGTCTCACCAAGTTCTCGAAACACGGATACACCATTAGTCTTTGAAAGCAGGGCGTCAGAGATATCGCAAGCGATTTCTCGTAGGACATACAAGTGCATTTTCACACGACAAGTGGCAACTTCGGTTTAGAGGCAAAGGTTTCGAGAAAGCGGGTATTTCTCGAGTACACCACGTGACTTTACCAAGAATAGAATAACAACAAGAACAAGTATGAAGTTTGTATCGACCGTGCTGCCGTTAGCAGCAGCTGCGTCCCTTGGTAGCGCGCTTGTCGTGCCCGAGGTGGCAGACGGCGAGACCTGGGAGCAGGTTCGCGACGTGGCAGAAGATGTGGTTCAGGAAGTGTCTGAAGACGCATCTGCAGCTGCGACCGCGGCCATCGCCGCCGCCAAGCAGGCGTTCGACAAGCTTGTGGACGGAGTGGGCCGCGAAGTGACTCGTGAGGCCGCCAACCGCGGCGAAGCCGTGCGGTTTGCTCCCCTGGAGACCACGAACCGTGAGGAATTCGTGATCCCACATCGCTACATGGTAGTGTTCAAACAGGGCGCGTCCGCAGACCAGATCGGGTTCCACAAGGAGCTGGTGTCTCAGGCGCAGCTACAAAACGTTGCGACGCTGCGCGCCGATGACCCGTTTTTCGTGGCCACCTCGGGCGACGATTTCGATGCTGAGATTACCGCCAAGGCCACCGAAGGTGGTATCCTGGACTCGTTCGACGTGGGCGGTGCTCTCAGAGGTTACATTGGCTATTTCACAGACGCGGTGGTTGATCTCATCCGCATGAACCCGCTCGTGGAATTTGTTGAAAGAGACTCGCTTGTGTTCAGCGACGAGTTCGACACCCAGAACGGCGCCCCTTGGGGGCTGTCGCGTATCTCGCACCGCGAAAAACTCACCCTTGGCAGCTTCAACAAGTACCTGTACGACGACGATGCCGGTAAGGGGGTCACCGCCTACGTGATTGACACCGGTGTTAACGTGGAACACAAGGATTTTGACGGTCGCGCAACTTGGGGCAAGACCATTCCTGACAACGACCTTGACAGCGATGGCAACGGCCACGGTACTCACTGCGCCGGTACCATCGGATCCAAGCACTATGGCGTTGCCAAGAATGCCGATATTGTTGCGGTCAAAGTGTTGCGTTCCAACGGGTCCGGAACCATGTCCGACGTGGTGAAGGGTGTCGAATACGCGGCACAATCGCACCAGAAGGCCGTTAAAGAGAATAAAAAGGGCTTCAAGGGTTCAACTGCCAATATGTCCCTCGGTGGCGGGAAATCACCTGCTTTGGACCTGGCTGTCAACGCCGCCGTTAAAGCCGGACTACATTTTGCAGTGGCTGCTGGTAACGAGAACCAGGACGCTTGCAACACGTCTCCGGCTGCTGCCGAAAACGCCATCACGGTAGGTGCCTCGACGCTGGCCGACGACAGAGCTTATTTCTCAAACTGGGGTAAATGTGTTGACATTTTTGCCCCCGGTTTGAACGTGCTTTCGACCTACATTGGCTCGGACACTGCCACTGCTACCCTTTCGGGTACTTCGATGGCTTCGCCTCACGTGGCTGGTTTGCTGACCTATTTCTTGTCGCTACAACCAGATTCTGACAGTGAATTTTTCCAAGCCTCCTCGGGTGTCACTCCTGCGCAGCTCAAGAAGAAACTCATTGCCTTTAGCACCAAGAACGCGCTCGGCGATCTACCTGACGACACCGCCAACTACTTGATATACAACGGAGGTGGGCAAGACCTGGGTAAATTCTGGGGCAAAGATGAGGCTTCGACCGCAGCGGAGCCCGAGTCGGGTTCCGATCATGCGACCCAATCCTCATTTGCAGACCAGCTTGAATCCCTCATTGACTCTTTAGATGCCAAGACGGATGTTTTGTACGACGAGGTAAGAGGCCTGTTTGACAACTTGAACATCATCTAATTTGCACCATCCCCTTCCAATACCATTATTACCTAAACTTTTGTATACACACTACTAACTCTTGTACGTTTACTTTTCGTTTTCGATTTGTTGTTGCTGTTGTAATTACTGTTGCTGGTTTAATTTTTCTTGGTTAACGGACCATCTCAGCACACATAAACAATGACGAAGGCGATCGGAATAGCAACACCTGATCCGTTAGCGCGTTGACGATTGCTAACTGTTGTTAGCATTTGTTTTGAACACTTACTTTCATGTGAACACGCGTTGTTTGCGTTGAAAGAACGACCCTTTTCGATGACTCCGTATCCGATACAGGACATCGACGATTTGACCATACCTGGCGGCGGGCCCTACGGCGAGGCCTCGTCTCCTCTTACGTATCGGCACCACAAGAGCGTTCCAAGACCTGTCATTAACGCTGTCTCCTCTACTCGTCCGCGGGACCAGAGGTTCAACACCTGTACTACGACGGCACACTGCGACGTTATCCTTGTCGACACTGGAAATAAGCTTGTTCCTGCGGGACGTCTGCAGAGCCGACGAAATCCACGTGGGCCCAGGCCTCATGCGAGCAACCGTGCCACCACCAACTCCGACTGGACCTCATCTCGCATGCTGGACGATTTTGTCGATGCCGCGATACCGCAGCTCAGTCCGTACAAAAAACTGCTAAAGTTGGTCATTTTACTCGCGTTGCTCCTGAAGCTGAACGCGCTGGTGTCGAGCCTAATAGCATACGTGAAGGCATCGTGTGGACTGGAGTAGTGGAGTGGTGGAGTGCCGAAATGCTGGCGTAAATCGTGGCTAGTCCGATGCTAATCACGTGACTATTTGGGCAATACTCTAAAATTTTCAAGCCCAAGCGTAAAAGCCATGCGATGAGCTACGGCTTGAACCACGATCAAGACCCAAAATCGACTTCCTGTAACACCCCTGAGATGCGTCAGAAGAGAGCCAAGTCGTACAGGAAGCAAATGGTGGTTTACAACCATAATTTCAAGTTCCGCGAGCCCTACCAGGTGCTTGTGGACGATCAAATCGTAGCAGACACTTGCAAGTCTGCGTTCGACCTTGTAAAAGGCCTGCAACGCACGTTACAGGCCGAAGTGAAGCCCATGATCACACAATGTTGCATGCAGGCATTGTACGAGGCTCGCGATGAAGCTGCGATCGCCGCTGCGAAGGCATTTGAACGGCGTCGTTGTAATCATCCGCCGCGGGAGGCCAAGCCTCCCGCGGAGTGTGTGGACAGCGTAGTGAACGTCAACGGCGCGAACAAGCACAGGTACGTGGTGGCGACACAGGACGTGGGTATACGACGTGCGCTGCGGAATGTGCCGGGCGTTCCGCTCGTGTACATGAACCGGTCTGTGATGGTCATGGAGCCTCTGAGTCGCGCGAGCGAGCAGTTCAGTCGTGCGCAAGAAGCGGCGAAACTCGTAGGTGGGCTGAACGATGCCAAATACGCGGGTGTCGCGCACGACGGTGGAAACGAAATGGACGAGCCTCAGCGCAAGAAACGTAAGGGTGTCAAGGGCCCGAACCCGTTGAGTGTGAAGAAGAAGGTGGCGACAGCGACACCGAGCTCCGTGGCTGCGACACCCGGCGCCAACGAGGATCCAGATACGGACCGCGTAGTGAATGGAGCCACGGATGGGAAGCAGCGTCGTAGAAAACGACACCATCGCAAATCGATCCTTGCGGATGCCACGGTGCATGCCACGATGGATGCGACAGGCAGCACCGTACCAGCCAGTGCTTCAGATAACTCCGAGTGAGTTGTGGTCGGTATTGGCTTTTCGTCGTCGTGTTTTGTCGTGTTTTGTCGCTGATCCTGTCCCATGCAGAGCATCTCCCGTACAATATTACATACATCATCTTTAATTTTTAAGGTTCGCGTTTTTCAAGGTTCGTGTATTGTAAACAACTCCACAAGGCGGAACCAATCGCATCACCAACCGGTCTAAAACAACACGACAAGGCCTTTAGAGAGTGGAAACACGATGTCTGAGGCAGAAGAACTGAACATTACGGTGGCGATTCGTTGTCGAGGCCGAAACAAGCTCGAAATTCGGGCAAAGAGTCCCGTAGTTGTCACGGTTCCAGACGTGACGGGGTCTGGCCAGGTCTCGATCAATACGAGCGGTGACGTTGGAATTGCCGCCCAAATGAGTTACAAGACGTATATGGTGGATAAAGTATTTGGTCCCAGCGCCGATCAGGCGCTGTTGTTCACGAGTGTCGCGGAACCGCTGTTCCGCGACTTCATCCGGGGTTATAACTGCACTGTACTCGTGTACGGGATGACTTCGACGGGCAAGACCTATACTATGACAGGAGATGAGAAACTGTACGACGACGAGCTAAGTGAAGCCGCTGGAATGATTCCACGTGTACTTTTCAAGTTATTCGAGACTTTGGACGTTGAGGACGATGACTATATGGTCAAATGTTCGTTTGTCGAGCTCTACAACGAAGAATTGCGCGATTTGCTCGATAGTGCTCACGATACGGCTTTGTCGAAACGATTGCGCATTTACGACTCCGCATCGAGCGTGAATAGCGGTAGTACAAGCAGTTCGCGGACCAATTCGCCTCGTCCTGCCGATATGGGCAACGAAGCGCGCCGGCGGCGCGCCAGGACCCACAGCGGGGGCACCAGCAGCAAATTCGCCACGAGTGCACCTTCTAAAAATACTTCCAAATCAGATTTCAGTTCATCAGCCATATACATCCAAAATTTGCAAGAATTCCATATTGTGAACGCGCGCGACGGAATCAGACTGCTTCAGAGAGGACTAAGACAACGGCAAGTTGCTACTACCAAGATGAACGATTTTTCAAGTCGATCGCATACCATTTTCACTATTATGTTGTACAAGAAATGCGACGGCGAAACTTTTCGGATATCTAAAATGAATTTGGTGGATCTGGCTGGCTCAGAGAATATCAGTAAATCCGGGGCACAAAACCAGCGTGCCAAAGAAGCCGGTTCCATAAATCAAAGCTTGCTTACCCTGGGTCGCGTTATCAATGCGCTCGCGGACAAAAATTCGCACGTCCCGTTTCGAGAGTCTAAGCTCACGCGACTTTTGCAAGATTCTTTGGGCGGAAACACCAAGACAGCATTGATAGCAACCATTTCGCCCGCCAAGATTAATGCAGACGAGACCTCGAGCACTCTAGAGTATGCGACAAAGGCAAAAAGTATCAAGAATCGACCTCAGCTCGGTAGTTTTATTATGAAGGATATCTTGGTGAAAAATATAACAACGGAGTTGGCAAAGATCAAATCCGATCTCATTTCAACTAAGACTAAAGATGGAGTTTACATGAGTCATGCGCATTACAAGGAATTGACCAACGATCTCGAGAACTACAAAACAGAAGTTCTAGAAAATAAAAGGGCCGCTGAAAAATTGTCCACTCAAAATGCTTTACTCTTGAAAGACAAAAAGACTTCCAATGAAATAAACGAATCCCAGAAGGCTCAAATTGAAAAATTGAACAGCAACATCGGCTTCCTTTACGATAAAATTGAAGTTCAACATCGCAATGAACAAGAGCTTGCCAGTGTCGTGCATAAATTGATGTCAGCGGTTCAAACCATGCAGAGGTCTTTAAAAAGTTATGAAGATCAAGAACAAAAATTCCAAAGCGAAATGGAAAGAGTGCTATATGAAAACGTGGGCTCTTTCAAGACCTCGTTGTCTAATGAAATTCACCTGTTGAAGGAAAACATGAGTTCTGAAAAGATCGAAATCGAAAGCAACATCGGTGATATCCATTCAGAGTTCAATCGAACCATCGAGACAATCCATTCATCTAGTTTGGAAATCTGTCAAAAATTCATAGAAGACATCGCAAAGAGACATCCTGCTCATTTTCAAGGAATTCATGATCAAGTTCGCAATATCAACGACATCGTTAGTGCATACTCTTCCGAGCTGGTCTCTAAGTTGAGCAACATAAGTGAGGAGTACAATGTCTTTAAAGAGTACCTGCATGGCCATTTTTTCAAAAACACATTTCAAGAAGCACTCAACATACATGTCGATAAAAATTACCATCAGCTAAAGCAATCTGCCGTATCGATGCTTAATGAGTTTCAAGAGATGATGCTTGAACGCCTCGACGAAAATCGAAACACAATGCTTCAGGGTCTTAAAATTGCCGCAACAGAAGTCATGGCAAAAGAAATGGGGCTTTTGGATCCTGTTAAAGAAAATTGGGAAATGGCATTGGATAATATTAACAAATGCGACAAATTGAACAGTAAATTTGAAACTGAAATAACCACTGCTACTAATGGTCTTCATCGAAGCATAGGAACCGCACTCGATATGTCCAATTCAGCTGTAGCCGATATGAAGGAAAACATGACGGATTTGGAAAGCGGCTACGAGAAGTTGAAAAAGGGTGAAATAATACAGAAGAACATCAAAGAGATTGGATTTAAACATGGTAAGTTGAAAAATCAGCTCTTGAGTTCGGCCAATTTTATGGAATTGGCTAAGAATAAATTCGGTGAAATAGATCGGTCAATTCAAAGTCTCTTAGACCTTCAAGGCAACAGCACTGAAGATGTCGAATATTCAGTGAGTGCGTTGTTAGAGCATTTGAACAGCAAAAGATTGAAACCCATAGGGTCATCCGGCAAAACCCCTTTACGGCTTCAAACAAACTTGCCTCTTATCAAGGATCAAAAGTGTAATAATCATCCCATGTCATCTTCAGCCTCACCCATGAAAGAGATTGATGGCAACAAAGTTAATGGATCGCCTTTGAAGCGGAAAGGCTATGAGGGTGACTCGCTAAGCGTCAAACTTCAGCGAATAGAATAATGCAACGGTGCTTACTCTGCTACTTTTTTAAGTAGTTGTACTATTAAACAATCTAATACAAATTGGTCGACAGATAACAACAACCACTTCCTAACAATTTACTATATGATATGACCCCAGATCTTTGATCATTCCGGTGACCGCTTTCCTATCCTTGTCCAATCTCGTGCAAATCTTGTCTAAAGACTCGGCTTGCTTGAGCGATTGTAATAAGACAAATTCTTCACGCTTTCGAGGTCTAAGCACAGACAGTTCATTTCTATGAAATCCTTCCATCTGTATTTGAGAGAGCGGAGACCGCTCTTTAATATCAAATGCGACCTTATTTCCACGATTTAGTAGTGTGGGATCAGATTTTTCTTTACGAAAAGTTGTGTCCCTTGAACCCGTATCATCAGTGGCTAAACTGATGGTAGATTCTGAGTTGATTCCTCCTGCAAGCAACTTATTTGGTGCAAGCTTTCGATACACCTCTTGAAGGACCTCATCCGCCAACTGAGAATTGGACTTGTGTTTGCCAAGCAATCTGAGCTCGCCACGCTTGTCATGCTCAATACCCACCTGGATATCGGCTGTCGATAAAACGTTAAGTTTGTGAGGCCTTCTATGCTGTTGGCCTTTCGTCTCTTTAAAGTCGTCTAAACTGTTAAGGGCCTTCGCAATGCCAAGGAAACTCATACTTTTTGTAATTGGATAAGCGTAGCATCTGTATATGAGACCGTGGATCAAGCCAAAAGAAATAAGCCTGCGCACGTCAACGTTTCCTAGTTTTATTTTCTCGTAATTTAGGGCGTACCAATCCTTGACCGTTTGTCCCTGCTGGAAAGATCTGTAGAGATCAAAAAGGCTCGATTTCGTTGCGTACTCTCTCCCGTTGGGCTTGAATCGATTTGAACTACTCAAGCTCGCATCGGAAACGCTGGCAAGGGGCACTGAAGAGCCACGGGAAGATAGTGACCGGTGTTTCAAATCTAAGGAATCTGCATCTGATGACATGGAACCGGCTCTCGAAGAAACACTTTTCCGCCTTGAAGAATCAATAGATATACTGCTCTGATTCTGTTTTTTCATGGAGGCTTGAGGCTTCCGCGTAAACGGTAGATCGTTGATGGGGGAATTGTCAGGAAAAGACACGTATGCTTGGCATGCAGATGCAACCGATGGATCAGAAAGAAATTTTTCCAGGTCGCTTGTTGGCGCATAAATGTTGCTGAACTGAAATATGTCCACTAGGACCACGCAATGGTAATAGATCAAATGTTTGACGCATTCGATAACAAGTTCAACGTTGCTATCACTGCAGTGTGCGATCTTGGAAATGCTGTTAATACCATTGATGTACGGGATTATCTTAAGCATTGTGGGATCCCAATTTACATCAATCAATTTTGACAAATTTACCGTGGCTATTGGGACATCTTCGAACGAAAAACAGGAGTTAGGAGGAGTCAGTAATGGGAATAATTTTGTATCCACCGAATTTCCAGAATCAATCGGTATCAAACATTCTGAATAATTGTTGAGATCCTGGTAAATTTTCGTGATCAAATCTTTGACAGATAACTTGCGATCAGATTTGTTCAAGTCACTGATAATTTCCTGATATTTCTCAAAAATGTAAGTTTTATCCTTCGGTTTAACTGAGCCAAGACTGTCCTTCAGTCGATCCTTCTCGTCTGGCATATCCATTCCGTTATTCTGGTCACCCTTGGCGTCGTCGCTCTTCAGATGGTAATACACCTGATCCAATTCGGCTTTGGACAGTATTTGCGATTGTTCTTCTAACACTCTGAACATTTTTCCTAGTCGAGCGATTGCAGGCTCATATGGAGTTGTAGCGCATTCATATGGAAAGACAAATACAAAATTGAAGTTAAAAGAATTCCTAGCATAGAAAGGCGCAACGACATTCACAGGATAACAAACCAATCTGTATGAACCATATTTAAACGTCAACAACTTGTTACAAAGCTGTGGTTTTGGTATGATATAATTTTTTATCGTATCAAAATTGATACCACTTGCTGCAATACATCCCGGAGGAAATTCGTACCTGACTTTGGTCCCCTCGGTTGGATGAAATACCGAATAGAAAATGCAATGGATTGGAACGAACCCGTCGTAATGGCCAGCCATGATGGTTCTTGTTATTTGATGCTGAGAAAGAGGTGTTCTTGAAATTAAAGCTGGTGATGAGCTAGATCCCCCTCAACGAATCTAACAATCCTCCCAGTGAAAAAGTGTTCATCCTATAAAATAGCGTACTCTTCCTCTGCCACTAAGCAATTTTCCTCAATGCAGGCCGTGATCCACTCTAATTTCACAATATGCGGTAACCGTAAATTAGTTTCGTTTCTCGAGCGTGTAGCTTTAATTGCCTTTTCGCGAAGTGATCTCATTTCAGTTTGATCAACTTCTTCTGAGGGCACTATAATTACATTTGCCCTCAGCCAATCATCAGTAATTTTGCCTCCAAATAGCTCAAAAAGGTCTGCAGCTTGGCGAACTGTTTGATTCCCGGAATTCAAGTTAACGACGATAGCCGAGAAAGCGTAAAACAAAAAAATTGGTATTTCCATCAATTCGTCTTGGCATGCTTCCTTTAGCTTTCTAGTAATTTCTTTATCATTCCAGCTGATAAGTTTATGGTCAAACTCCGTCCCTGTCATAACGCTTTCATAGCTATCACCAAATTTGTCCACACGGGAATACGCATTTTCCAGTAGCTCTTTTGATACCCGAAAACAATGCTTAGGCTCCAACTTGAGTGCAGACTGGGAACGCACCGAGTCAAATAGCCATAACGGTGAAATAATGTCATAACCACGCTCGATGAGAGCTTTGCATTCAATAGTGAGTTTTGAGCCAATAATATACAGAAACTGCAACTCGCCATCTCTAAGGTCTAAGTTGTATACCATGCTGCCTCCATTGTGTAAGACCAAAGAAATTATTCGATCATAGCTAACTCGTGTCTTATCTGTAACGCTAGTATAATCGCTGAGGACGTAGAATCTTTTACCTTGGAAAATTTCCGTGTGCGATTGAATTTGTGTTGTATCCAACCCACCGTACAATAATTCCATCTTTGCGCTCGAGCTTCTCTTTTTCTTGCGAGGAGAGACGTTATGAATCCTGCGTCTGTAACGCATATGATTGTGAGATAACTTCGCTTGAAAGTATTGCCTAAAAGTGGCGCAAGACTTCCAGTCTTTATCGTCTCTTATCCTTCGACAATAACCCCCATACAGGGTACTACCACTTCTAAACTTGACTCCAGCCGACTCGCTATTGTTGACCGACCTTGCCTTAACCTCCATCACCAGAGACTCTCTAGGATCGATCCATTCTGCCGGCAGTTTGGAGCCAAATTCGATAAGCTCCGGGGGTGGAAGACGTTCAGAAGTCTTAACCCACTTACCTCTGGTTTTCCTATCAATATCTTTACACTCTTCGTCCGATATCCCGTTAGCAATACTGCAAAACGAAATGAATTTCCTCTCAGTAGTTTCCACAATTTGCTCAGGTAAATTACCCTCGTCGTCGCCCGATAATTCAATGACCTCTTTAATATCTTTTTCGTCGTCATTTTCCAGCAGAGCCAATCCGCACATGAAAGAATCTTTCTTCCCTGGATCACGACCTATAACGATAAGGTCCAAATTTTCACCAAACTGCTCCAAATACTCAGGTTTGACCTTGATCCAGGCTTCATTGCGTGCACCAATGCTGTATATCGAGGAGCATTGCTTTAGTACAATTCCCTCAGAGCCCATGGAAATAGCCTTTTCGAGAAGATTTCGGATATCGTTGGAATCTGAACATTTTAGACTTTTGAGGACTTCAATAATGTTCGGCACAGGATTAATCACTGTCTGTAGGTATTCTTGCCTTGTTTCAAGGGGAACTTTTGTCAAGGATACACCGTTTAAAAACAACAGATCAAAAATCATGAAAAAGGGCCTGAACCCCTTGCCGTCGATCCCGGCTTCATGACTTATCATTTCGTCTACGGCGCTAGATTTTACAATTCCGAAGGGTAGCACCGTCTGTTTTTCTCTGTCGTAGGTCACCATTTCTCCGTCTAAAACACAATTCTCAACATCTGGCGAAAGCTTTACGTGCCGAGAAATCACACCACTCGAAATAGAGCTTCCATAAAGATGCGTGTAATCTGTGCCTCGTCTACTGAAAAACTTGAGGGATGAGCCGAATTGCATGTAATGCACCTGGATTCGTTCTCCATCCATTTTCTCCTCAACAAAGAAATTGCCACTAAGCCTGCGACAAATAGACTCGTAAGAAGAGGCCATCCTTCTGGCCAATTGGGGGGAGAAAGCGCGACCAATATTAATGGTCAGATCGGTCTTGCCAAGCCTTTCTTGAGCATTCCATAATTTTAGAGACAGTAACTTTAAATCTGAAACCACACCCAAGTAATCCAAAGCATCAGGATGCCAGCAGTGTAAAAACTTGTGTTCCAGTCCTCCCACGACTCTGGTTTTCAACAGAATATCGAAAAAGTATGGCATTTCGACAAACGTCATGTTTTGAAGACAAAATCGGAACACAGCAGATTGGGAAAGTCCATTGAACCCCCATTTCTTCGTAGACGATTCCTTAGATAGTTCAGACAGTTTTTGGTTAAGAGACTCGATCGTAAGGCGAGTGCTTTTCTCAGGTTCTTTCCTGCGTTTTTTAATTTCTTCTACGCAGAATGCTGACAGCTTCTTGCCGCGCGTTGCCAATCGTTTCCAACTTAAAAGCCTGTTTTCTGTCAGGGAGTTGCGAGGCAAATTCAAGTATCTGCACACAGCCTTGATGAGCGTAAAATCCTTTATATTATAGGATCTTGGGTCTCTGTACGGAAACGTCAAAAGGAAAACTTCGTAGAAGTCGTTACCGACCGTTTTCCGCCACAATTTGATGAAATGGATAATCACTTCCAGGCAGCTCACACTGTAAGATTTTCCGAGTTTATGTCGATTTTCTAGCAAGGCATCCAGTTTCACATATAGCTCATCGCATAGCCATTTAAAATCTGGAGATGGGGCAAAATTGTGCGGCTCAGCGTCACGAATATGTTGTGAAGAGTTTTCAGAATTCTTTTCCTGGACACTCATGATCCCAAACGACTAATTGGACTCATACCGTTTTAACTGTTCATTTGGCTAAGGTTCACTTCTTTTGACGATGAGTTTTCATTAAGATGAGGATTCACCTTGTACAGCCGTATGCAGCTATCCCGCCAGTGAAATCTAGCTGATTGGATCATAGATCCAGCCCATTTCTCCCAATATTGCCGTGTACCGTACATTACTTACTATTTGCTTCTATTTAGATATATGGAGTGCATTGAATTGGTCACTTTGATCAGATGTGGATGTATCCGCCAAAGAAGAGGTTTCTGAGCCAGATTCTATCACATTGCCCAGTTTATCATATTTTGAAGCTGTTATGATCCCTCGTGTCGGCTCTGCACCATCCGAGAGACTTGCAGCAGTATCCTCTGCTTGTTCGTTCTCGGTTTCGTCCTCAGAGTCTGTCGGGTGCGCTGTTTGTCTATTCACATTTCCCATGAGCCATATATCCTCCGTATTTGCCTGAGATTTCCGCTCAAATGCTTCCTTTTCTATTTTTTCTAGCCACTTAGCCTCTGCTTCTTTCACCGAATCCTGGTCTGTGCATTGCTGGTAGACCTCAAGTAGCTCTTTGTTAACTTCCAAGAAACCTAGCCCCCATGAAAAGTGCGACAGCAATTCTGACGCGAGATCCATGCGTCCGACAATCGCGAAGCAAGCCGCAATAGCTTCTACACAGTTCAACCTCCAAGGCCGGCCGTAGTTGACCTGATTGGCCGCTACGAGATACGGCAAAAGTCGCTCGTTTTTACCACCAATTTTGTTAAAAGGGACTTCCTCCAGCCGAGCCCACGAGCACTCTACCACTGCAACGCCGTTCATTTCTACGATTTCTCTGTCATTGGGACAAACAACGCCCTTCCCATTGGGAGAAACCACAACACCTTGAAATTTCTGACCCACGCGGAGCGACTGAATAACTCCGACCCGCTCCAATTTCTTACCACTGCACCGCTTTGGATCACAATGATCAAAATCCCACATAGCTAGCTTGACAGGAAAATTACTCTTGCTAGCTTTCCCATGTTTTATTTCACCTCTGCGGTGATGAGATTTGCCAGAATGTGACGATGTGGATTTACCACCGCGAGAATCGCGCATTTCGCCCTTGTTTTTGCCTTTACCCATTTATACTAACGCTTGAGTCCCGTATTTAACTCCAAAACTGGCTTCAAGTCCTTTATGGCTTTACCTATCGACCAGGATTAGGACGTTTAAGTATCGGCGATGAGCTTCATTTACATTGAAAGTCTACCAATGTTAGCATAGCATTATTGACGATTTCGATATCAAATCATAGACAGATCTCAAGAATTGTAAACAGTTAAGTACCAAGACAAGCCGTTGCCTATTTGATCAAAGCATTTTTAAAGTTTCAGCTATCGATACGGGAACCATGCGATTCCCTAAATGACCTTTTATTGTCCTTGTCAGCGCTTTTCCTCATGCGATTTTGATTTCGCAGTGTCACTCAAAGTTGACAATGCTTCTTACCAAACGACTGGATTTGCTCACAACCTGCAATTATTGACGCCTCCATTGTCATTTTGAGCAAGCGATTATAAGCAATTCCTTAATGGTTGCCAGATGAGGAATTGGAGACATAGTGGTGTGCCGCTTTATCACGGTAACAACGTTTCGTTGTGTATTTAAACTGGAAAAGAATCACCCTGCGCGTTCAGGTTAATAATTGATCCGAAATAAACATCGAAATATGCATTGTAACAAGCTCCTACTTTCACTCCGAGAATGTGGAGTGAGTTCAACAACACAAGGATACTGAACTACCTCCCTCAAACTATAGGCGCACGATACCGCCATCAGGCCACAGCGGCGGTCTTCAACTTTGCGCAGTTCGAGAAAAATGCGGGTGTCGCAATGCCTGCGGTAGCTAGGATGCTCTCTGGTATGGTACGAGGTACCGGCATTCAATCCAGGAAGCGACACCGACCTACATTTATCTCTTTGCTGGAGGTAGCACTGCGTATCTCTGACGTTTTAATGCTTGCTATTCTGGTCGACTAGCTTGTGGGGATGTTGCTCCAGACGCCATACCTCGACATCAACGTAATGGACAAATTTATGGCATTGAAAAAGCCTCTATAGCCGCCAAGTTTGAAGAAATGAATCTTCCAAAATCGTCGTAGAATGCACACATAACAGACGGTACTTACTCGATAGAGTGCGTGGAAAATGCGAGCCTATACATTTTCCAAAGCAGACGACTATGATGAAGAAGCTCGTGACGTCCGATTCTCTTAGCGTTTTAGTGACATTTCTCTCCCATCGTCCATTCCGTTGAAGTCCGGAAAATCAAAGTTTCACAAAACTGATTATAAGAAATAGAGAGTGCCAAGTAATAAACTCCGAAAACTTGTCATTCGCCTAAGGATGGTGGTTTTTGTTATCGCGCACGCACTGAAAGCTTCAGCTAGCCCAGATTTATAGATCATCTACAAGCGCCAGTAATTACTAAAATGTATCCATTATGCCTTGAAAGTGTTTTAAATTCCCTAAATTCGAACAAAACGGTAAATAATTCTGATCCAATTGCATCATTAAGATGGTGCCTTTCTCGCGATGTAAACTATCATAAATAATGAATGCCCAGCAAAATCACCCCGGGAGAAGCGATGAGGTGAAAAATTCAAAAAGAGACTACGAAAATGGCTAGGAGCATTAGTGCCATCCTGGCCTGCTCATTAATATGTAGTCGATCTGTCACCGTGAAGTATCTGCATGAAGCGATGAGATTGGCCAAGTTCCCCAGGTTAATTATTGATCTCTTGCAGAAAGAGAGAGCACTTGACACGGATCTTTAGAAACCCTAACGAACATGTGGATTCAAACGACGTTAACCGTTTCGTCACTTGCAGTGATTGACAAATGCCTTATTTCTTGCCGACATTGCTCAACCCATTGATCAATGCCGTGTTCAATTGTCCTACACCACTTACCTCATCTTTAAAGAAGGTTTTCTCGACTTTGGAAGATAAAAAGTTCATTTTGGTTGTTCCCAGCGTTGAGGTTCTTTCAAAATACGAGGACTTGGAAAGCGGGGTATCGCTTCAAGACTTATGTTACGATTATGATTTTGTAGCGTCACACATTTTGGTTTTGGAGAAGGGGCAATTGTCCCAACCTGAGGAGTTCAAGACTCTGAATAACAAGACATTATCGATACGAAATCAAGGCGAAGTGATTATGACCGGAGAGGGTTTTGATGCGCGCAGAAGATTCCCAATCAAACTAGTTGAGCTGTTCACGAACTTCAATGATTATTTGGGCAAAGATGGTAAATACCCGTTGCTACATGTCGAGCATCCGCTGGTAGGAAGGGCAGTTGTGAAAGAAGAATGGCATTGTCTGGAAATGAGAAATGGCTCGAGATCTCGGAAAACGCTGTTAATTGACGCCGCGACGCAACAGCGATCTAATTTTGACCGTACGTTACAACTGCATCCTGCTTTGGGCGACAGATTCAATGATTTGTTCAAAGCCCAACGAATCAAAATCGGCTACCAGAAGCGAGACCCATCAGATTTGATAAATTGCTTCCAAGAATTTCAAACTGAAGCTTTTGATATATTTCAGTCAATGAGCTCTTTCTCAAGTTTTTCAAATCTGGAGCAGCTGGTTTATACTTATGTGGAGGTCAACCTTTATACCGATTTTTGGCTTCAGTTGACTGGCGCATTCAAAAAGGAAGAAATTGAAGACATTGCAAGCTTCGATGCCCTTGCCAATATATCGATCAATCAGGTTCCCTCGTTCCTGTATCCAGCTGATACGAAAGATTTCGATCTTCGGTTTGTGGTTCAAGCTGAGAGAAATATCACGGCAGCCACCACATCTTTCAAGAGAATGCAGATTGCAAATTCACATGCGGAAAAATCGGACATCTTGGTTGAAACGATGCAATCGCTGACCAAAACCCTGCTAATCGGCAACAAAAGCATAGCGTTCGACGCAGACGCTCTGGTGAGTATGATGATTGTAGTTATCTGCCGCTCAAAAGTCAAGAATTTGAAGGCGCATTTATTTTATCTACAACAATTCTCCAGAGAAGCTCATACAGTGAATTTTGGGATTTTAGCATACGGAATTTCAACACTCGAGGCAGTCTTAATGTATTTTCACAAGCCAGACAGAGTTCAAACGTTTGAGAAAATGTGCCGTCGTAACAAGTCGTTTTGGAAGATTTTGGAAGATACCGGTGAATCAGCCAATTTTCTTGATTCCTATGAGGATCTCTTGCGAATACGGTCGGCTCAAGGACAATCTGTTTTGGCCTTCTGCATCCAAAATGGTAACTTTGACTCATTCCTGTATATTTTGGAAAGTCATGAGGATTTGTTTCCTCTCGAAGATATCTTGCACGATAAAACCCTCGAGAATCTCACTCTCATGGTTTTGTGTCTCCAATCTGGAAACTCTTTCATATGTGATACATTTTTCGACCTGTTAAGCGTTTCCTGCACCACCGAAGAGTTGGCACTTTTTTTAAACTGCCGGGACGACAATTTCCGAACATCAGGGCACTATATGATGCATGCTCCTCAGCTGTTACGCCGTCTTGGACCTTTATTGGATTGGGCAGCGAAGGACTTGAATGGCCATACACCGTTGTTTGCTTTATTCCGATCTTATGATCATTCAGATTATGATTCTATGGTATCGGACGCCTATTTTGCAGCATTCGAATGGTATAGTAGTCGAAAGCAGGAATTCAAAGTCTGTGATCACATGGATTACAAAGGAAACACTCTTCTACACGTTTTAAAGTCTAATGTGTCACTCTTACTCGACCTCCCGACATCAAATGTTAACACTGTCAACAGAAAGGGTCTAAGTCCACTGATGGTTTATGCGAGATACAATCGTACTAAGAACATATCGGCAATTATGCAAGATGGTCGACTGCTTTTCGATCAGATGCAGGTCCCACCTTGCTTGAATGTTTATGATTTTGTCAGAAATCCCGACGTTCTTGAGAAAGTTTGTCGCGCTGCTGCTCGTCGGTCTGAGTACCTGCTTGTTGTTGCTCATTGTCTCAAATACGAGGCCAAAGAATGGTATGTCTGCTTTACGGTTAGAGATGGAAACGATAACACACTCATGAGATACAGCCTAAAAGTTGTTAAGGACTTCCTTGTCGAATTTGGCGAAGCTTATCCGATGAGTTTCCTCCCCATACAAAGTGTTCTGGTAGGTTTGAAGGGTCTCTCAAAGACGAGAATAGCAATTGCAAATAGGCTGGAGATCCACGAATTCTTGGGCATTTTAAGTGAAGTTTTGACTGCCATATGTCGAGAATCGCATTGCTTTAATGCTTTCGTTGAAAACCCGAGCAAGCTGTCTGCATCAATACTTAAATCATCACCAACATCCCTCAAAAGGTCTTCATCGAGGGTAGAGTTTACGGGAGATGATGCGGCAGCCATCATCAGACCAGAAGCTATTTCCAGTATTCAAACCTTCCTGAAATTCAATGCAAATGAGTTCAAGACTGTCAAGGCATTATTGGTTGTGCTGAGGAAGCTCGCCATCTTCAAGAACCTGAAATCTGAAGATATCAAGAATGCTTTTCACTTGTTTCTAAATTCTAGCAAAGCAGTGGGCTTCCCGGAGATTTTGAAAAGCACTGTATATGACAAGCAAATTGATGGTTTGAAAGCAGCGTTACCGTTCGTTAGGCTCATTAGTAGTGTTGAATTTTCGATCAGCTGCCTTGAAACTTTACTGTCAAACATAAACAGTGTTTTAGAGAAGAAGGTTATCAAGTGGTGGCACCTTTATGGAGAATACGTTCATCTTCGCAGCGAATACAACAAAAATTTTCCAAATGCAATAAAGCCACAGGTGAACACTCGTAATGGAGGGATCTTTGGTTCCTACATAGAGACGAAAAGAATCAAGCTGGAGGATGCGCTCTCTCAAAAATTACAATCTTGTTTACAGCACTTGCATACCCTTAGCGACACCATCGGACATGAACATGAACTATTAGCAGAACAAATAAGCAAATTTCTCGAGTTTGAAGGCGACTTTTGGAAAGATGGCATTATAATCAATTTTGCAAAAGAGAGCATTAAGCTTTTAAGACTTACTACAGGCATAGTGGAAGAAACATTATGCGACTTTCGCAAACTAAAAAATAAGCATTTATAAATTCAGTCTAAATAAGCATCAGTAAGCATGCTTCTGCAACGAGAAGCGATTGAAATTCCTAATTCTTGGGCCCACCACCAAACATGTTTTTGGCCATATCCATCAATGCAGGGTCCTTCATCAAATCACTCATGTTAGGAGCGCCTCCACCTGAAGAAAATTTGTCAGCCATTTGTTTCAGAGCCGGGTTGCTCATCATGTCATTTAAAGCATTTGGGTTCTGCATGAGACTTTGAGCAGCCTGCATTACTTGTGGGTTGTTTAACAGACCTCCGAGCCCACCGCCAAGTAAAGAGGAGAAGTCTGGTAGACCGCCAGTGCTGCCAGCAGCATCAGCAGCAGCTTTCTCTTCGGCTTCGTTCGACACTAATGTGGATTTTTCCAAATTGAGAGACTGTTCGACCTTCTTCTTAGCGGTCTCGTAGTCACGCCTCATGGCGTCCGTGGCTGATTCGCCTTCGATGTCTAGAACTTCTTTGTAAGCGTCTAGAGCTTCGCTGGCGTTACCTAAAGCGTATTGTGCAAACCCGAGTCTGGAGTACCCCTTTGAATAAGCAGGATCGACGCTGATGGCTGATTGGGCGTCTTTGACAGCTGCGTCGTAGTTTTTCATGGAAGAGTGGGCAGCGGCACGGTTCGAATAGTACACGGCGTTCGAAGGCAATACTTTGATGGCCTCGGTGTATTTTGCAATGGCCAAAGTGTAATCCTTGGCTGCCATCGCCTTGTTACCCTCAAGCTTTAAGGCCTCGGCTTTGGCCTTGGTGTCAGCATCTTCAACGGGGATGTTTACCTTAACGGTTTCACTCTTTGGTTCTTTGGTAATGAAGTCTTCAATCTTTTTACCACCGAAAGTACCTTGAACAATTTGCTCCGCCGATTGCTTGTCAACTTCAAACGCCTCCGCAATGCAGTCTATCGCCACATTAACAGAGTCAACATAATCCTCTGAAATTTCGTTGTTGTCAGCTGTACACGTCAGAAAGTCGATAATAAGAGCCGCTATCTCTTGTTTAGAAGACGACATGATTCAATCCTGCCGACAAATGTGATGATGTGTTCGTTACTTTAAAGTTGACAATTAACTAACTTTTTGTTTTTTTCACTACAATCTTAAATCAAAGAACATCATCATTTATGGAAAATCAAGAAACCTAGCTATAGAAGCTTCCAGAAAAACTAAGCACAAGAAAACACATTATCGTGGCTGAGAGAAAATTAAGGAACACCTGGTGTTACTCGCTTTGCCTGGATTCTAATATTCTGTTGTTGTTGTTCTCTCATAACAAGGCCACAGACAATCGAAGGATTTAAATTCTCAAAAAAGTCTTCCCCGCCAGGACTCGAACCTGGAATCTTCTGGTTTCAGAAGTGGATACTATCGTAGCCAGACGCCGTGACCATTGGGCCACGAGGAATAAGACTTTACGTTTTCGTTGTCTTGGCGGTTTTACTACGCATTGTGAGCTGCTAATCAAAAGGATGAGCTTGATACATTTATCTGAATATCCATGTTGAGATCTTATCTCGTACAGTTTCTGGAACTTATACTAAATTAGCTCGATTCTATCCATGTTATATACGTTTCTGGAGAAGCCGCCAGGTACCGAGCTTTGAGGCGCTCCAAGTGAGTAAGAATTCGTGAAACTGCTATTATGCACCTTTTACATCGCACATTTATGCAGTTTATCCTCAATAAGCAATTTCGCATGTACTTTGTGTAAACGTTTTGTAGCAGATAGGGCCTATTTTGGACTCTTCCGCCGATTAATGGGAAGAGCTGTGGTTGGCGATCAAAGATGTCAAATGTTAATAGATCAAGCATTCTTTATTTGTAACAATTCGATTCCTCGATGCTTACAAGTCATGTAGTGTTTTGTTTCTCATAGTAATCAACTTATAGTTGTTCCACAGCCAAAACAGAGTGAAGCATCCAAAACCAATAGCGCAGTTTAATAAAATCCAAAGATCCGGCAATAGAGCAGGAGGTTGCACGAAAAAATCCAGCACATGAAACGCGGTCATTGCGAGGTAAGAGGTCACAATTACTACTTTCCAAAATAGGCTCTCGGGTAAGAAGCTCTGACGCCGATATGTGCCCGCGACATCGCTCACTGACGGCCCCGGGGTAAGGAAGCTGGGCAAGAACCTTGGGGTTACGAAGCTGAAGTTTCCCAGTAGCCAATTGCTGAGACCCATCATAACAAAATACTGTAAGATCAGTCCGTCCTTTTTCAACAATGGATAAAGCGTGAAAAACGCAACATTGTTAATCCAACTCACCATTGACAGAACATTCCAATCCGTAGAGCAGTAGAGTAGTGTTATTGGGAGAAGAGGCACCAAGATGGACTTTTCGTGAACCTGGAAGCTGAACAGGAAGAACGACATGGAGCAAGAAGCCAAGGCGTATGGTAACATGTGCCTCTTCGGGTGCAAAAACGCTACTATGAATGCCGGGGCAAAACCAACACCTGTGGCAATGATTGAGAATCGTTTGAGTTCATCCAAGCTGAATTTCTGATTATATTTGATAAAGATATGGCTCACACACCAAAAGTTTGCAACTTTGTCTTCAAACAGCCCTCTCGAAAACGGAAAAATTCGGATTACTACCTGCAGAACATTCTGCAGGCCACCTGAGAGGTAAATCGGAGCCAAAAGAGCTGCAAAAACGGTCATGGTGGCCACTGCAATGCTCGTGAGGCGTGCCACATTAAAGGAAGGAGAAAAGATGCTTTTGCTCAGCAGGAAAGAGAAGAAAATCGGTGAATAGTAAAGGGACATTTGTTTGAACCCCAACGAAAGGACGAAGCATGCCGCGGCCGGCGCGTAGTACCCATCCAATAAATTATTGATGGCGTAAACCGTGAGTCCGAGCATCACTGAATTATACTGAAAATGGCCGTGATCAATCAGCACTAGAGAAGGCTGGAATAAAATGGCAGCGGCAGCAATGTATTGGCCAATAGGCGATTGTCCTCTGAATCTCCCCAGCCATTTAGTGAAATACAGCACGGCTGGGATATAGAGCAAAGCCTCGCTCAGAATAACGGTAAAGCGAAGGTAAGACTTCAAATCGGGACATTCTGCCCCTCTTGACGAGTTGAGGGCAAACCATGCAGGATGCAAAAACGAGCCTAGTTTTCCTAGGATGTACGAGTGGTACGCTGTTAGTGGAGGATAGTCCAGTCCCCAGTACTGCAAATCATACCAGTACCATTGACTAGTAGGCAGGTGAAGCGTTATTTCCATCCAATGTCTTTGAGCTTCGAAGTCTCCATGCATTGGCTCCACACCAGCTCCTGAGAACGACCCCAGTCCAACGGCACACCGTATCACTAACGCAAAAAATACTATAACATATTCTGCGTAATACTGGCTCCCCACGGGACGAAATGGTGAAAGAAAATCATACAGCGGCGAAGCGAAGAACGATTCTTTAAGCTTCTCCTTCTTGGTAGCCATTCCAACAAACCTGCAAGCCTGCGACTAGAAGAAGGTAAAACAGTTGGGTAAAGAAAACCGTAAATATAATTGCCCTTTTTATTTAAAATAAATAAAACTGTTTATAGAACCTTTTTTTTGTATATATTATTCTTTTTTTTGAATTATTCTACCTTTGAATACTCAAAGAAAGCCTAGCTTAGTGCTTCTGATCATTTTCATGAGACTTTACTTCGTTCTCGGTGATACCATTGCTTATAGACGAAGTCCAGCCAGGAGCTCTTTCGAAGCCATTGACACCATGCTGATAGTTGTTATAGACTGCAGCAATGCGTTCTCTTGACGTTTCAACGAAGGGTCCCATTTGGACCACTGGTTGGTTCAGAATTTCTCCTCCCACAAGCACAAATTCGGTATCATCAGAAGCACTTTGACCAGCGATGGCGTCGCCATCCGGGTTGAAAAAAATGGCAGAATATGGTTCATAAACCTTACCTGCAATCTTGACACTCCCTTTGAGTATGTACATGAAAGTGTTGAAATTTTGGGCGAAAGGTTGGTCGAAATCGACATCCTTTTTCGACAATTTGAAATGGTACATGTTCACCGGGGTATAGGCCAGTTCGCTGGCGGATGAGACACCATAGGACTTGCCACTAATGACACGCACCTCTAGACCGGGGTGAGGATGAGCCACTGGTGTCTCAGCCGCCCTCAAATCACGATACCGAGGCTCGCAGTTCTTGAGGTGTGCAGGTAAATCGACCCACAATTGAAGCCCGACGCTTGGTTCCCCGTTTTCCATTTCGACTGGGATTTCTGAATGCACAATTCCTTTGCCCGCAGTCATAAACTGCAAATCTCCAGGTCTCAGCACACCGCTTGAGCCCGTGAAATCTTCATGTGCAATCATTCCGGAGAGGACATACGTAATAGTTTCTTGTCCGTGATGGGGATGGTCCGGGAACCCAGCAGGAGCACCGACTGTGAAATGATCCAGCATTAAAAAGGGAGAGAAATTTCTTTGTTGAAAAGTGCCGATCGTGCGCCTGACGCGGGCACCGACACCTTCACTTTGTTCGACAGCGGTGAAAAATTTTAAAATAGAGCGTAGTTTGGTCATTGTTATTAGTTTAATGGTTTCATTAATTTCAGACACACTTCGAAGTCGTTAAATTATCTGTCAACATTTATACCTCGATTTCTCGGACCCTTTTTCTTCCATGACTAAATTCTTACAATGCTTTAGCGAAAATTTAATAATCTTTATAAATGCCAAGTCTAAAGAAAAACGCAGTAGCGCATTATTAAAAGATCAAACGCACGAAATGGAAGCGTCTCGAATAGAATGATATAGCATTTATTAGGGGTTAATCATGCTGGAATTAATAATCAAGTAATTTTGGTCCATTGGTCCTCTATTGAACCCAATTACGTTGATAGCGATGATTACGTGATCGCTTTTGGCTGAAGCTACGATTTAGGTTTCATGTAAGGCTTAAATTGTTTATATTGTATTAGAGAAACTCCTGAAATTGCCAAAATATCGCTTGTCAGCTGTTTATATTCTCTTAATCGTCTGATAATTTTTATTTTAATGTTCTGACATCCCAGAACGACATTTGAGTTCTAACGAAATCGAAAAATTATTCAGCATGTACATGCACCATGTAAATAAGAATGTCGGTTCGAAACTTTTTTGAACATGGAGGACAAAGCCTTCGGCCTTGATCTTTGGATAGATTTGGAAGTCAACCGTTCATTTAAAAGAGGGTTGCCAGCAATTTAAAGAATTTTTAAGGAAAAACGAGGTACCCAGAGAAGACAAAGAGCCAAAATAGAACAACCGGCCAGCCAAACAAAATCGACGTCGCGAGCCATTATTGGCGTGAAGGGGTGCACTAATGCGCGAACAAGTGAAGAAACGTGACTTCGATAGATCACGTGGTTGGAGCCGAAAACTCGAAACTCCAATCGCGATACACGGGGAAAATTTCGATAAGCACTTTTACATCCCTTACCGTAGGGAACTAACTCTAATTGACACTGTGAACTGCTTTACCATCCACACAAACAACTTCTTTAAGGTTTAACTAGGGTAGTCATGTCATCTAGAAAAAAGAACATCCTCAAAGTTATCATACTTGGCGACTCTGGAGTTGGAAAGACCTCCCTCATGCATAGATATGTTAACGACAAGTTTTCTCAGCAATACAAAGCGACCATTGGAGCAGACTTCTTGACAAAAGAAGTGACGGTTGATGATGATAAGGTGGCTACAATGCAGGTGTGGGACACTGCTGGACAGGAGCGGTTCCAGTCGCTTGGCGTCGCGTTTTATCGAGGTGCAGACTGCTGCGTATTGGTCTACGATGTGACGAATGCAAAATCATTTGAAAATATCAAATCGTGGCGGGACGAATTTCTCATCCACGCCAACGTTTCATCTCCAGAAACTTTCCCCTTTGTGATACTCGGCAATAAGGTCGATGTCGAAGATTCCAAAAAAGTTGTATCGTCTCGCGCAGCACAAGAACTTGCCAAATCCCTGGGTAACGTTCCTCTTTTCTTCACCAGTGCCAAGGGCTCCGTAAATGTCGACACAGCATTTGAAGAGATTGCGCGAAGTGCTTTGCAGCAGAGTCAGGCCGACGCAGATGCCTTTGAGGACGAGTTCAATGATGCGATCAATATACAACTGGATGGTGAACCCAGCAGCTGCGCCTGCTGAGGATGCAGCAGTATTCATGAGAATAGAACACGTATATGTAATAATAGTCGTAATAAATCTTGTCTGTCACCTTTGGAGTGTAGCTTACAGCTGCGGCACTCTCTAGTTTAAACAGTGACACATTTCTCATCGCACGTGTGTTCGTTGCATTGAAAAAACATGGAAGATGAAATACAATCAGCTTGACAAGAGTGATTTATACACAGGGCAACAAGTCCGTAGATGCGCGGTGAATGTTGGATAAAGAGTGCGAAGAGGTGAGCAAAGAGGAGGAAGAGATTAAGCCAACCAAAAATGTGGTTTATAAGGCTATCACGACGGAGACTTCCCCTGTAGAAGAAGAAGAGAATAACAGAAAAAAGACCGACACAATTGCTGAGATTCCGGAAATTAGGCTACCAAGTGATTTCAGAAAGTGTTCACGCACCGATTTAGTCATAGTAATATCGCGTATGCTCTCTTTTCTCATATACCTGAATGACACAGCCCCAGATCAAGAATCAAAAGAGTTAACGAGATTTCATTCGCGCGTGCCGCCCGTAATCTCGGTATACAATTACCTGTTGAGACTAACGCGCTACTCTTCGCTCGAGCCCGCTGTGTTGATATCTGCAGTTTACTATATCGATTTGTTGGCCGGAGTGTACCCAGCTTTTTCACTCAACTCTTTAACCGTCCATCGTTTTTTACTCACGGCAACTAGCGTTGCCAGTAAAGGACTCTGTGATGCATTCTGTACCAATACACATTATGCAAAAGTTGGTGGCGTTCAATGCAGTGAACTTCATATTTTAGAAAACGAGTTCTTGCAGCGCGTGAACTATCGCATTTTGCCTAGAGATCACAATATCGAAATTTGCAAACAGGAGCATCAAATTGATTCTTTCGTTACCCCTCACTACAGAGTTCAACACGGAACCAACGATGGATTCAACGTGTTGAGCACATATTATCGAAAAATTATCGAGCTTGTGGGCCTCTACGATTCTTCGCCCGATAAGACCAAAAAGGCAAACTATGTCTTAGAGCACTCAAAATCGAGCACTATTGAGTCAGTACCTCGAAAAAGACAACTAGAAGAATTCGCCGAACAGCAGCATGAACCTAAACAACGCGATAACCATAAAAAGCCAATTTAGCTCTCGAAACCTCGCTAATAACCCTTAAAGAAGCACGAGCAGGCTTTAAAGGCTTACGTGCTAATACGCTTCCTCTCGCATTCCATCAAAACAGCATTTTCTTTATAACAAAACAGTGAATGCTCCCATGTCCATTAATTTCTAAAGAAAATGAACCCTCAGACCAAGGGGTATGCACCTTATCGGATGATAATTACGAAATTTTGCCGTTTAAGCGACTGCCATTGATGGGATAATAGCAGTGGATCGACATTGATGTCGTTCAAGAAGCCTTTCAGTCGAAAGTCATAATGAATATACCAACGTAAGCCATCGAACTTTTGAACGAGAGCATCCCTTTGCTCCGTCTCAGAAGTATGGCCTAGATTTCGTCCTCGAGCCTATCAATCCAGCCCGTTGGTTGAGCGGCCTATTCACCCCTATGCTATTTTGTCTGCGTGAAAAATGGCCATATTATTTTCAAGGAGGAGGGTATTCGACTATATTGGGAGAAGTCTTCATTCATATACATTTCTCAGACGTCAGAGAATTACACAAAGCCGACAGGTTATCTTCCTGACTGATTAGTACGCTAGTTTTTGACTCACTGATTTGATTGATACACGGTGGTGAACCTCGAAAAATAAAAAGACTTTTAATCTTCTTAACGCTATGAGATTTTGGCTTTTTTTCACTGCTCGAAACTCTTCAAGTAGGATCCAGACTTCCATCAGATTAACTCTCCTTTAACAAATTGTCACGCGCCCATAGGAAACCCGTAAGTCGAGTCTGTTGCAAGAACCGCTGTATTTATCTATGAATGCTGCTCAGTAGAACGGGGTCTTAGGTCCCCATCATTTCTGATACTGATCTCCTGCCTGATTTATATTCATTACATATATTTATCATCATTTGCGCATAGTAAATGTTGTTCTAAGCGCGGCTTGTCATTAAAGTTGCTTAGTCTCTACCTCGAATGAAGAATCAGTTATTCTTCAAAATGGGGCGGTAGCTTTCTAGCAAGATATGGCTTCTCCTAGTTGGGAGGAACCTTTATGAGAAGCTGGAATCTTAAACTTTTGTCGTAAAGAAAGGCAAGGCACCCAACAGAATTCTGAGCCACAAGGTAAATTTGAATACGAGTTTCAATTTGCTCTGTGGTTCCTTGTGACATGAAGGACCTTGAAGTTTTCGGACTGATTGCCCCTCATCCAGCCAACCATTCAGCCGTCAGATCAGCTTTTTTATTACGCAAAGCAAATATGATGCGCAAAACGGAACATAATCGAGAACCCAGGGCAAGGATCTATGTCTTTTGGAATTCAAAGATCATCCCTTTGAGAGTATAATTATTGTCTAATTTCATCGAATAATCTTTTTCAACAAAGGTCATAAATGCTACTAACCTATATTTTAACTTCGGATATTACAACTTGTTAAAAAACGTTTTTATTCTCTAAAAATTAATCAAAACTCTATTTAGAAAATATTTTTATCTGTAAAATTTAATGAGTTAGTCACATGACTTAGAGCTCCTAAAAATTTCAGAAAAAATTTAGTCACATGGCGAGTTAACTTTTTGGAATGGTTTTTAAATTTTTCGGATGGAGCTCATCGAAGCCATGCTTAGTCCACGAAACAGGTAAGCTGCAATGAGTGGGGGCCATGACAGTAGCCTGTTAGAAAATGTTGTCAAGACAGTCAGGGCGTCTTCTGCTTTGGCTGCTCAGGACATCACCTTCTATCGAAGGATAGATACGTCTGTCGCTACGTCTATCGACTCCACAGCTCATAGACTGTTGAATTTACTGAATGGACTTCTGCTATCTATTGATGAAAACAATGAACCCGTTCAGGATGGCCAAGAGGGACTCGGAGGCTCTTGGAGAAACATAGGGAATGCTTTAGATACTGTTTTTGAGACTTCCGATCTGATTTATACAAAGATTGTAAAGCCACAAGATGCATTAACTGGAGGCGCTTCCAGACACCTCGAAGACTCGATAAGCACTTCTCTAACGCCAGCCAAAAGGATAGAGAAACCTCAGAATAAGTTCGCAAGGGCCGTTGACAATTCTGAGCTACACCCGTTCAAGCCTTTGCTAAAGTCAAAACCCAATGCACTTAGAGGGCTCGATGAGGTTCTCAAACTGACCCCAGAAACTGACGAGGAGCCTCGTCACTTCGAGCACCCTTACTTTTACGAGGTCGAGATTCAGCCATACGATGACTCGGTTCTAAAAATTCGCGAACCAATAGAGTCTAAGCCGTGGGAAGGAACCAGCGCGTCTTGGGTGGACGAAGTGGATACGCTCAAAGATATGGCGGCCGAATTGCATGACGCCAATGAAATCGCTATTGATCTTGAACATCACGACTACAGATCTTATTATGGTATTACATGTCTAATGCAAATTAGTACCAGAGAAAAAGACTGGCTGGTGGACACAATTGCCCTGCGCGATGACTTGCAAATTTTGAATGAAGTTTTGACGGACCCAAAAATAACCAAAGTGTTCCATGGAGCATTCATGGACATCATTTGGCTACAGAGAGACTTAGGATTGTACGTCGTTGGTCTTTTCGATACCTACCACGCTTCCAGATTGTTAGGATTCCCTCGTCATAGTCTTGCATTCCTATTAGAAAAGTATGCGAATTTCAAAACGTCCAAAAAATATCAGCTTGCTGACTGGAGGGTTAGGCCTCTGACGAAGGCTCTTGTGACTTATGCTCGGGGGGATACCCATTTCCTTTTAAACATATATGACCATTTGAGGAATGCTCTAATAGAGCAAGGGAAGCTCGCTCAAGCCTTGGCAAATTCAAGAGATGTTGCCAAGCGAAGGTTTGAGTACAGTGCTTTCAGACCTAAAGTTGACAAAGGCGTGTTTGTGCCCTCTGAAAATCAAGAACCTTGGAGACCTATGATGTACTCATACAACATTCCGTTTAAGAAAGAACTTCTAGTCAGAAGACTTTACGAATGGAGAGATGCTATGGCAAGAAGAGATGATGAATCTCCTCGATACGTCATGCCCAATCAACTGCTTGTATCATTAGCTGCATTAGGGCCAGTCGAACCAGCGGGCGTCCTCTCGGTGGCTGCGCATGTTACAGATCACGTCAGGGCCAATTGCAAAGCGATTTCTCAGCTCATTAAAAAGGCAGCTGATGACATTAATGGGAATCCTATAACGAGCTTTCGAGTCAATGACAAAAGTCAAGAGTCTGATTCTCACCGCGTTAATTTGACGGACGTGAAGCAACAGGTTACCATATTTCACAACCTTGTAGCACAGAGAGAGGCTGACAGTAAGCTTTGTCAGAAGTTAGCGAAGCATTCCAGAGTGCTTTTACCACCCAGCCTCAATGAAGCAATCATTTACAAGATCGGCCGGAAGGAGATTATCAACGAGAAGGTATTATACACCCGGCAAGGCGATTTGAACGAAAAGCTCTCTGAGCCAGCCTTGCCCGAAAAAGTTGAATTAGCGCTTGGCGATACGAGGGCTAAGAATGATTTACCGTCTGAGCGCTTGGCTACTTCGACGGAAGATTCGGTAAATTTGAATATCAAGAGCGATGATCTGGAAAAGGATAATGACAAGAACGAGGTTGTAGTGTTGAAGAAGAAGTCTAACAAACCAAAGACCTCTAAAACTCAGAAGCCCCATACAGAGCCGATCGACTACAAAAATGCTAAAAGCGTTTTACAAGAAAATACAGGCAAGGCAAAACCATATAAAAGAAAGCTTGATCCTTACGCGATTCAAGAAAGCGCGCCGCCTGGTCTTAAAAAGAGAAAGAAAACAAGAGGGAAACAGGCCTCTTTCAAGCGATGAACCTTTTAGATAGATTTTTCTATGCAACGTTAAGAGCTATTCAATAGAGAACACCTTTGCTGCTCACCACTATGTGAGCCGTCGCCAAACAATTTTCATTGAGTAATGTCATGCCAAGATTTGATTTCGGTAAGCAGAAAAACGTTTTCGTTAGGCGAAAACGTGGAAATCAAGTTCAGAGCAGTGTTATTAATCTATGATGAGCAGCCAAAAGCGGAGGCCTCTTTTGATCGGGCAAGAGGACAACTTTAGGGTTTCTTCTTTTCGAGGATTTTTTTCGTCGTTCCGGAGAGCATAATCCAACAATATGGATTCCATAAAGGGACATGAACCAAGGCCCGACTTTCAAAAAGTGTCAATCCTTGAACGAAAAATTGACCAGTCAGGTATAAAAGCCTATGGTTTTTGAAGTCTCTCCTTTTACATTATTAAGTAACGACGGGAAGCTTTCAATTCCCATGGATGAGCCCACTATTAAACAGCGCCAAAAGGTTGAAGTGCAACCTGAGGGAGTGATTATGGAAGAACGCACCACTTTAATTAAGGACAACAAAGTGAAAAGGGTTACGAAAAGGCGGCTTTATACATGGGATGAGATACCAGAATGGCAGAGGGACAACGAACATATTATACGTGGTTATGTCATGGAGACCAAGAGCCTACGCGATTGCATTATAGCGCTTACGTACTGGCACAATGAGTCCATTAACATCTATACGCATTTGATTCCGGCCTGCTTTTTTTTGCTGACGATGCTATTTAATGAGTATCTTCTCACACACTTCAGAACTACTGGCTTGATTGATATTATAATGATTGACCTTTTTTTACTGGGAGGTTTCACATGCCTAATGATGAGCAGCACATTTCATTGCTTGAAATGCCATTCCATCGAAGTGGCTACTTTCGGGAATAAACTTGATTATTTGGGAATCGTAGCTCTTATCGTGAGTTCAATGGTTAGTATACTCTATTACGGCTTTTTCGACAATCTGCCTTACTTCCTTACGTTCTCGAGTTTGACCATATCTTTTGGAATAGCCTGTGCAACAGTGTCGCTCAGTGATAGATTTCGAACAAGAGAGTGGAGGCCTTATAGAGCAATGCTTTTCGTTGCTTTCGGTCTTTCAGCTTTGATTCCAATAATCGCGGGCGCTTTTCGGTATGGAGTCAAAGAGACGTGGGTACGCATTCAAGTTAAATGGGTCATTTTCGAAGGTGTCTTTTATATTCTAGGTGCCTTTCTTTACGGCGTTCGTTTTCCTGAACGCGTTGCACCAGGTAAGTTTGACATATGGGGTCATTCACACCAGCTTTTCCACGTCTTGGTAGTAGTTGCTGCTTGTTGCCATTTTCGGGCTCTTTTGGGTGCATATGCGCTTGTTCATAAGCGAATTGTATTATAGATTTTAGCTGTGGAGATTCAAGGTGTATATATGAGTGCGCTCATTAGAAAATAAATAAAAACGGATGTGCTCTTGAAAGTGCTGGCTGGCTCCTACAAGGACAGAATGACCAACAAATGTTAATGGGAGAGTTGAATACACGAAATACTGTTGAGCTTACTTGCAACGTGATAATGCCAAAAACATGCTTCCAACCAGATTTGAACTGATGATCTCCACATTACTAGTGTGGCGCCTTACCAACTTGGCCATAGAAGCTTGGAAATTGTATACTGCACCTTTCAGAGTTCGACATATAAGTTGAGGGTACGGAGCGCCGAGCCTTTGTTCCTGCTCTTTCGGATATTCTTAATTATTGAATGGATCAACTGTTATATATTTACTTAGAGATAACTCTGCTAGAAAAAGTGTGCTCGATGAAAAGAGATCTCCAGTCATCGTGATTACTCGTTGTTCTCTTTCGTCAACTGAATAATCATTCTTCATGTGATTCGATCATGTGATTCCGAAGAAATAAGTCTTAGAGTAGTCCAGATTCATTCTCTTTATGTATTGAAGACCACTGGGCATTCTATCTGGATTAATGCGTACCTCCACAGTGGTTGAGACAAGTTTTATAAATGCCCGTTAAGCTCAAGTGGCCTTGGCTAGGTATAGCAATTCCTGCCTTCCTCATTAGTTTCTTGGGATATGGAGGGCACTATTTTGTTCTTCAGAATTTCTGTGCAATTCCTGTTCAGCTGTCTTTTGAAGCATGCTTGACCATGATTTGGATATCATATTACTTGGCGATTTTCACAGATACGGGAAGCCCACCTGCTGAAGTCTCCCCTCAGGCCCATGGCTGGAAGTTCTATTGCAAAATCTGCAAATGCTACAAACCTGAAAGAACACATCACTGCAAAACATGCGGGAAGTGTGTCCTGGTGATGGATCACCACTGTCCATGGACAATGAACTGTGTGGGACTCAATAATTTTGCGCCCTTTGTGCGCTTCCTTGTCTGGGTAATGGTAACGACCAGCTTCTTAGGTTTCCAATTGATTAGACGGGCTCTTTTCCATTGGCATGGGCGACATGATAGATACTTTGTCTTCAAGTCAGAGCTGTGGTTCCTGGTTCTCCTTATTCCGCTCAATTTTTTCGTGCTTCTATCGATCGCCGCACTCTTCATTCGCTGCGCTGGAAATCAATTCTTTAAAGGCATGACACAGATAGAAACCTGGGAATTTGAAAGACTAGAGAATCTTTTTGACAATAGAAAGCTCGTTCCACAGCTTGTGATTTCTCTCAAAGAAATTTACCAAGATGAAAATATACCCGAACAGGAAGTGAGCGCCTTGTCTACCGATAGATCTTTAGACATTGAAGAACTCATCAACTTCCCCTATGACAATGGCATAATGTCTAACATCAAGCTCTTCCTTGGAAGCTTTACCCAATGGGTTTTACCGTGGGGAGCAACGAGCCAAAACGGCTTAACGTTCGAGAAGAATGAATTTAGCCACTACAACAGCAAGGCTCCGCTAATCGATCGCTTCCTGTCTCTCCCCTGGCCGCCTGATGGTGGTAGGCACAAGAACGCCATAGATGTTGAAAATGACAATGCTGTCGACATTGGCTATGAAGGAGGGGAAGCAGTCATCAGAAAGCGTTTTGTCGATCCAAGAACTAATCTCCGGCGCACAGAGTGGTTTAACGAGTGGGGAGAAAATTTAGCTGACTTCGGGGTCGATGTCGAGGCGGAGAGTCCAGATTAACGCTCCTTTTAGCAATTCCAACTCACTTCAGTGACTGAATTATATAATCGAAATACAAATTTCCTATTAGATGACAAAATTAATGCGGAACCCTATTTTTAAGTCCCGCCTGAAGTGCTCATGGCAACGTTTTGCGGGTCGTCAACATTAACTTCAGTATTAGGCGTGGGGAAGGGGTGCCCATTTTGTCCCTGTGCGACGTAATCTTCAAGCCCAGGCCTTTCGGCTGTTGAGCCACTGACGTTGCCCAGATGCTTCTTAACATCTTCTGCTCCCTTAGCAACATCTTCCTGAGTGAGACCTCTTTTCCAACCTTTACTACTATCAAGAAAAGCGTTGACAGCTTTCCGTTTCTCTTGCCTTGAGGCTTCAGTCGTGTCTAGGAGCTTGCTGGGGCATCTGTTTACCGCAGACCTGGAAAAAACATCCTTGGATTGGGGTTCAATTTCGAGAGCATAGGTTTTCGGATCGACTTTTACCTTCATCTGGGAGATAGAGATGCCCGCGGGTGACGGCTTATCACCATCTTCTTGTGCATCGCTTTCATCATCCACGCTTTTGTCTAAGAATGGCATTCTGATGTCCTCGTGTGATATACCCTCAGTTGGATGAGAGAGGGAATAGGATGTCAGGTAGTACTTCCAACGATCTTGCATCGAATCGGACTGTTTCAACGTTAAGTCGTCAACTGCAACGAATTGAATTGCGACATGAGAAGTGGACTCATTGTACTCAATGCGAAACATGTTTTCCAAAAGTCCCATGAAGGATCTCACCTGAAGGCGATAAAGAATTTGTTCTTTTGCGCTAGTTGATTTGGACGCCCTATCTTTCTCGAAAAGCGACATTATCTCAACTGTTTTGACATCTGTGACAATGGCATGAGAATGCTTAACAACGGCCTGAACAACCTTGTCTACGGTATAGATTTTAAAGGCTTTGTTTTTGTAGGCTTGGCGTAAACTCTCCTCGAACCATTGATGTTCAATATTATTCTCAATCAATTTTTTGCAAAGCGCCAAAAGTTGCTTGTAAGCGTCACTCACTTCAAAGTCCAAACCCATTTCAGATAATTGAGTTGAAATGAGATTTAAGTCTTTCGCAAATTGCGAGGTTCTCCTATTACCAATGTCTTTCGTTACTTCCGCGTTCATCTGCTTCACCTCATGAAGTCGCGAATACAGAGTAAAGAGGTGCCGGAAAAACACATAGATGTTAGTATTTGCAAAGAGATTGAACACCTTGCGATTAGGCACAAACCCATGAAAGTCAGATTCTTCCAAAATCGTCCCCAAAAGCCAAGGCTTTTTAGCCTCTTGTCTTATCAGCTCTTCTTCTTCAACGCCATCAGAAAGGTTAATTTGAGTATTATCTACGAGATCTGGCTGCTCCGATTTCGATGTTTTGCTTCTGCTACGCAAAAGCTCCTGAAAAAAAGGCTCATTTTCTCGAGATCGCTTTTTTGATTGACCATCGGTCCCATTTTCGTCCTCCGAGTGTTTCGTAGAGTCCGTTCCTTCCCTTTCCGACAGCGACTTTGCGACTTCTTTTAATGGAAGAGAGAAAAAAATAGATATAAGTAGCTTGAAAAACTCCATAATCTTTTCTTTATCGCCAACTGAATAGGTGCAATTATGATCCACGAAAATGCTTACGAGGTAGAGGACGTCGTAAAGAATCTCTTTGTCTTTGATATCAAAATCCAGCTGGCTTTTCTGTTTCGGAGTTAAAGGATACAATCTCTTGTTTGTTTGATCGACTTTAATGCTGCTGATTTCCGAGACAAGCTGCTTTGCTGTTAAAAGTTTTTTGTCGGCTTGCTTAAAAGTCAGCCCAAGATGATCCAAAGATTTGAAAAACACTTTCTGCTCCAATTCTCTCCAAACTTTGTTCCATTCCCTTTGTGCACGCCGCCATTCTTCATCCTTTTGCTTCAGTCTTTTCAATACAATCGGGACGGAAATAGCGGGATTTTCATGAAGCGCCTCAATTATCTCAAAGCCCCTGTCCTTGTCGTAAATCTTTCTGATTACTTTTTTGTAGATGGTCGTTGAAGTATGGCCCAATCCAGGCGGGAGTTTAAAGGACGCCTTCTCTTCAGCCGTCATATTTGCTATTTTGTTTGCAATAGTTTCTAGCGTCTGAATTGTCCTTAAGTTAGCTTCAATGTAATAATCGTATTCGTGTCTCTCTTCCTCAATCTTAAACAAAGTCTCTTCATATTGATTTTTACGGTGTGCAATGAACCCTGAATCCTCTGATGCCCAAACAGGATGGCCAACCCACTCATCATTTAGAACTTCCCAACACATCTCGTCTCGACCAGAACAGGGCATAAATGTGTCCGTCTTGGGTAGTTTCTTGTAGCTTGGACCACATGCCTCGCAAAGATCCAGGTCCAATCTGTGTTTCTCGTGAACAATGTTTTCAATGTGCTTTGGCTTCTCGACATATCCTACAAAACCCTTGAACCAATCAATCAATTCCTTATTAGAATCAAGGTAGTAGGATACCCTGTGAACCAGTTCATCCAGCTCAATTAGGTCTTGCGAGAACAAATTTAGAATTTTCAAAAATTCTGTATAAACCTGTTTGTTACCAATATGTTTCTTGGCTTTATCGAAGAAAGAACTTTCTTCAATCAGATTAATATCGTCTTCGATAGGTTTGATAGGTTCAGGTATTACAGGCACCAGACTTGGATCGAGATCTATCTCTGGTCTTGAGATGGATTCAACATACTGCAAGTTAGCCGCCTGGTTCACGTGAGGATAGTAATTGCCATTTATGGGCGTGCGCAGTTCCGAAATAGGTATGGCATCATTTGACATGCCCTGAGTGACGATGTGGTGAGCAACGCCTTGCTGTTCCGGAGCCAATTCCACCGCAGGAGCTTGTACTGCTGGAAGTGCCATTCGGGACTCTCCCTCCCGACCATTAACTGGAGGAGAGAAGCTACCTAGTGGTGGCAAGCTTTGGGAGGGGACTTGTTGAGGTGGGAAGTAAGGGCCAGGACCATTGAGAGGGGCCCTATTGCTTTGAGATTGCGCAGTTTGTTGCTGAGAATATGGAGGCTGCTGCAAATGAACTTGTTGATGCGACTGTAGACCATGCTGTTGATGTTGATGGGCAGCATTGGCATCTGGAAGGAATTTTTTGAAATCATCTAAGAGGTCAGGCGCATTCTGGAAAAGAATAGTCACTTGTCCGTAAACCTCGTGAATTGGCTTCTGCTCGCGTTGATAAGTTTGCAAAATTTCGAGGAACCTCTTGTAAATATCGGGTTGGTCCGCGAATCTTGTTTTGATCTTATTGACATAACTGATCGCGTGACTAAATTCGATGTCACCTGCCTTTCGTTCCTGTTGATAAGCTGTCTGCTGCTGTGCGAGTGATGGGAGGTGAGTCGCATTCTGGGCTGCCACTGTCGCATTTGGAGGGGTTTCTTGCTGTCGTTGTTGCAGATGTTGAGGATGCAAGTTTTGCAGCTGATTCTGACGCATATTTTCGACTTGAGCGGCTTCCAAATCCTGAATTTGAGTTTGCTGTTCTGCCACATTAAAGTTGCCGGACTCGCTCATATCTTCAGGGCGTGGTGGATTACTAGCGTCCGTGCTTGAAACAGGTGCGGCTGGATGCTCCGACGCTTCTCCAACGGGAGTCGTTCGCAAGCCCAAAGGTTGTTCATTGTGTATGTCGTAGGGAGTCGTAACTTTGATGGGATGCGGATCATTCGGATTCATCGAACACTCGATCTTGTAGCCCTGAGGCAAAAAAGTGTTAAATCCCTGTATGAGGGTGGGGAAACCCTGGAATAGGGTCGACACTCTTTCGATAACTCCAGGAGTGTCGATGACCTGCGACTTGAAATCTTTCATGATGTCCAGAAAGTGGTTGTAAACGTCGGGTCTATTGCTGAACTGAAATTTCACTTGTTCGAGATACGACAGCGCGTCCTTCACGTTCAACGGCCTGTATGACAGATCCTGGGTCGAATCGGGCCCCAAAGGCCCGCGAGGATTCAACAGAGACCCTTGAAAGCTCTGGGGGCTCGAGACCTCGGGAAGAGTGGCAGGGCCCTGAGAACCCACGCCTCCAACATTCTGGGGCTCGGGCTGCGAAGGCAGCGGATTGTTCAGGCTCGCCAGCGAGAATCCTTTGCTTGGAGGTGATCCGTTCGACGTCTGAGGCGCTGACATGGACGGTAGTCTCGAGCTCCCATTCTCGAATCCGCCTAGCGATGGAAGAAGGTATTTACGTTCGCTGTTGGACGAATTGTGACTCCCTTCGCCATGTCCGCTAGCACCACCCGCTCCGCTCGTCCCCAAATTCTCGGCCGTCGTTTCAGCAGTGCCGGCTCCCGAACTGGCCACTTCGCCGCCATCTACAGGTGTTTCATGGCCTTGTTGTTGATTCCAACTCTGCGACATTCGGCCCCAAAATGATCAAAAATGACTCAAATTTCTTCGTTTCTTCGGCTCTAAACCGATTTTGACCCACAAATACTATATTACAACGTCCAAAAGCTTCTGAACACCCCGTTGTTTTCACTTTCAACACGCCTTCGAAATTGTTGTTCACTGTTTGGATACACGCTCAGTATACAAATTTTTCACGTATATTTTGAGAAAGGGGTTCTCTGATGAAAGCGCGGCAACTGAAAGTTCAACAAAAACACGTAGATGATGATGTGAAAAAGTTCACCCACTTGAAGATTTAGATGGAAACACAGCTTTACCTAGTTGAAGAACAAGTCCAACTTTACCCAAACCCATTAAAACCGGCTTGAAGCCATGAATGCTCCAGATAGATTCGAGCTATTCTTGCTCCCGGAGGGAGAGGCAAAACTGAAAATTGAGCCCGACACGAAGGCTCCAAACGCGGTGATCGTGACGTTTGAAAAAGAAGATCACACATTGGCAAACATCATTAGAGGAGAGCTGTTGGAGGACGAAAAAGTGCTCTTCGCGGCGTATAAAGTAGAGCACCCGCTTTTTGCGCGGTTCAAAATGCGTATCCAAACAGCAGAGGGGTATGATCCCAAGGAAGCTCTTAAAAATGCTTGCAATAACATTATCAGTAAACTGGGCCAGCTGCAATCTAACTTTGAGACTGAATGGAATCTGCAGACGCTGGCCTCTGAAGAAAACTATGTGTGAGTTAGGGCCCATGGAGGAGCTAGTGGAGTGAGCCGAGGGGCCTGTTGAAATGTCGCATTATTTACGCTTGCCTACTAGGTCTGTATTAATAATAGGAGGTCTTGTTGATCAAGAGGTGACATTACATCTTAGGGGGTTGGTGGTGGTTGTTACTTGCAGTGTGGGTTACACAAGCTAGAGATTAGGGGCAACGCGGAACAGCAGGTTTGAGCATCATAGTTGGGATTGTGCGGAACTGACAATGGCCGCTTTCTGTTTCAAACCTTCTTTGATCATCATGAGTTTTTCCATGAAATTAATGTCGGCACGTCCAGGTACTTCGCCGCATTTCAATAACTCGACAGTCGGGTATGTGCGGCTCTCACGATCTGGAGATATATAGGTGACAAGCGTACCTCCTTCAGAAATGGCGAATTTGTGATGATCTTTAAAATTAAATTGGAAAGTGCCGTCACTTAACTCAAACATCACATATTGCTTGTATCTTGTGTATCTCCTCAAAAAAACATCGTCCTTGTGATACTCTTCGCGAACAAACGTCGAGATCCTGCTCAAATTCGCTTTCATGTATTTAAAGAAGAAGTCCACCACTTCTAAATGCCGAGACAATTCATGCGGCTTTTCTGATAGTGTGTAATGACTTGCAACCCAACCTTCTCTATCGTCGTAGCAAATATACCAAAACTCGTCTGCATCAGCCAACCTCAGGACCGTGGTTCCATTGTTGAATAAAACGCCTATGTCGTCCGTGGAAAGTTGGTATGAAAATCCGTGTTTATTGGAATAATCTACCCATTTGGTCACTACAATGGGGTTTTTGATTTCGGGCAAACGCGATTTGGGTAAACCGCCCATTCTTTTTTGAGCCTCTGCCTCCAAAATACCATTTAAAGTCAAATGGCATTCACTGGCTAAGATTCGAAGTGAAATGTCGGACTTTATTATATTAGTAGACGTGGCCACAAGTTCTTTTTTGAAAGTGGCCTGCTGGGCTCTCCTTACGCGTGCTTCACGCGCCAGATCGTTAAGCTTTTTCTGAGCATCAAGGTCGACCACTTCTTTGTACTTATTCTTAGTGCCACCGGGAGACAAAGACTGCGGTAAAATAGCAGAAGTTCTTTCCTTTTCCAAATCGTTTTTCACTATTTGTACTGGGTCTTTTGCCGATGAAGAGGCACTTGTGAGACCGCATAGAACCATGCATCTTTTGAAATTGGCCGATGATCGCGCCATGTCCAAATCGTCATATTCTGGCACGGTCGTCATGACCGATTCGTCGATTTTGGCAGGAAATTGGCCTCTAAACCACACGTAATCGATAATTTCATCCAGCGAGGGTCTCTCAAGGGGATCCACGGAAAGGATGTCACGTATCAGTGTGGTAGCCTCTTGAGAGATGGGTTTATCACGAGGGAAAATGTAATCACCGGTCTTGATACGCTCATATATGATATTGACTTCTTTGGCTTGAAAGGGCGGTTTCCCCACCAGTAACGCATATAGCATTACGCCTATTGACCAAATATCGACTTCGTAAGAATGACCCGTATGTTTACCGGTCAATACTTCGGGAGCAATATAATTAGGAGTACCGCACACGGTATATTTGCGGTCTCGATCGGATGCCAGTACCGCAGCCAGGCCGAAATCTCCAATTTTCAAATTGTAGTTTTTATCGAAAAAGATGTTACCCAGTTTTAAATCGCGATGTATTACGCGCCTGCTATGCATGTATTTGATGGCACCAATGATCTGGGTCGCGAAGAACCGGACCTCGGGTTCTTTGAGCCCCTTACGTCGTTTCAAAAGGTCCATGAGGGATCCATTAGGACAAATCTCAAGTAAAATGTAAACGTTTGTGTCGTCTTCGAAGCAGTCGATGAATTGTACGATATTGGGATGCCGCATACTTTTGTGGATTTGAATCTCGGACAACAATTTCTTACGGGTCTTTTCGGACTTAATCGAAATCTTAGCGACCGTTTTAGCGGCGAAAACTTTACCGCTGTCGTCTTTCATTTGAAAACACCGTGCAAACCCACCCTCACCGAGAAAATGACCGCGATGGTAATCTCTGCCGTGCGTCTTGATCAATGAGGGCGGTGTTTTGCACAACGAAGACAATTTCTCCTTTTTCCGTTTAGGAGCCGGCTGCCGATGTTGATCCATATTTTGGTCGACACGCTTGTGACCTGCGCTATGCGCATTTTCTTTGCCCGCCGTGTGTTTCACGGGCGTATGAACCCCATGGGATCGCGTATTCAGCTGTCGCTCGTTCACCACCTGTAAGGGTGCTGCCGACATCTTTCTGTGCTGTTACTATCGTGCTTTCCTTCAAAACACGAGCTTCTATCGAGAACTTCAGTTCCTCTTTCGTCTGTTTTTAGTTCGATATATATCAATTTGTCTCACGCTAACTTTGTGGCAAAACAGTCGCAAGCTCTCCACGTCAACAACTCTTTGACGTCGATAAAAGCGTCTTGTATAAGTCGCTCGTCGTTAATGTGACACGGAAACCCAGCGAAATCGAAGAAATATCAAGCAGTAGGCGTTTTGTTCGCTTGCAAACACGGCTTCTATAAAGCGTTGTCAATAAGGTCTCTATGACAGCGGTTTTCTATGAGAAATCACGCTTCGAACTTGTCGATTTTGCTTGATTCTGATGAAGCCTTCATGAAGCTTTCATCAAGGTAAACAAAAAATTGAAGATCTTTAAAGCATCAAAAACAGAAAAACAACAACAATACAGATAAAGAGGAAAGAGATGATGAAGAGCAGATAGAAACGACGTCAATTGTGACGCGTATGTGTTTTTAGGATGAGAAGGGTGTGTATCGGATTGTGGGCATGGTCGGTTGGGCGTTGTGGTCGACGGTGTCGTAGGATCGGTTGTGGGAGCCTTTGACGTGGAAAAAAACGCGTTTTTGTAGAGTCAATGGGGCCCTAGCTGGGTCTAAAATGGCGATGGACATTGTAGGGTGGTGCTGACACTCTCGGTCGAATATGCCCAGGAGTTCGCGTATTCGACGCAAGCCCTGAGTGAGTGGTCGTCCTTTTCGTACCCTGTGATATCTACAGATCTCATTCTGGTTAGGTGGAAACGTAACGTTACGGCGTTGGATGGATATGAGATGAGATGTTGTATGCCCACTTTACGTGAATCGCTTTGAACGGAGAGATTCGTGAGACTTTGAGGTACTCATGCGTTCCCGTACGAAACGACACATCTCATCGCACTCTTATAAGGGCCACTTCTGATTCGAATAAGACCAGCAAGTGTGTTTCTAAGCGCAGTGGCAATGGCAATGGGCCAGACTCCATTGCATGGATATGCTTGCTGTTTGCGGTAGGGCTGTCAGGCGATTATATTATCCCGGCCAACTTCCCCGATTAAGGCACTGCTAAATAACAAACTCTGAAAAAAATTTGGTTTTGAGCAGCTGTCACACTCGCGAGAATAAACACGTACTGAACGCGTCTTTTGGAGCATAAAATGACCGTGAAACAGAAGAACGAATCTGCGTCAGACGACGACGACGATGATGTACCGCTGGCACGTAAGACGAAAGTGCGGCGGAAGCGTACTGCGAAGGAAGATGCCGATGCGAAGATCGAGATCAACACCATCAAGGAAGAGGACAAATACGACAGTGACGAGGCTCTTTCAAGCGTGGCAAAGAAACGATGTAAGAAAGCTGAACCCAAGACACCTAAGGTGCCCAAGTCTAAACCTTCTAAAACGCCCAAAAAAATCGTGAAACGAGAAAAGTCCGTAGAGAAACAGAACGGGGACTTGGAAGAAGACGACTCAAAAGAATCGGCTGAAGACTCCGAAGAGTTTAAGTGGTGGGAAAAAGAGAACGATGACGATACCATCAAATGGAACACCTTGAAACACAACGGTGTGATTTTCCCACCCGCTTACGAGCCGCTGCCCTCACACGTGAAAATGTACTACAAGAGCAAACCTGTCGACCTGCCGCCACAGGCAGAAGAAGTAGCAGGGTTTTTCGCTGCGCTTTTGGAGTCCGACCATGCGAAAAACCCGGTTTTCCAAAAAAATTTCTTCGAAGATTTTCTTGAAGTGTTGGAGGAGTCCGGTGGGTCTAGAAACGGTGTACAGCCGGAAAAGTTCGAAGACTGCGATTTCGGTAAAATGTTTGACTATTTCCAAGTGCAAAAAGACCAAAAAAAGCAATTGAGCGCTCAGGAGAAGAAACAACTTAAACTCGAGAAAGAAGCGTTCGAAGAGCCCTATAAGTTTTGTTACCTGGATGGTCGGAAAGAACAGGTGGGAAACTTTAGAATTGAACCTCCCGGTCTTTTCAGAGGCCGTGGTGCGCACCCGAAAACAGGGAAATTGAAAAGAAGAGTGTATCCCGAGGACGTCGTCTTGAATTTGGATAACGAGGCACCTGTGCCAGTACCTCCCGAAGGTCACAATTGGGGCGAGGTGCGTCACGATAACACGGTCCAATGGCTAGCCATGTGGCGGGAAAACATTTCAAATTCCTTCAAATACGTGCGTTTCGCGGCAAATTCGTCCTTGAAAGGTATCAGCGATTTCAAGAAGTTTGAAAAGGCCAGGCAGTTGAGAGGTTACATCGATGCTATCCGGGCCGATTACACCAAGAACCTTAAAAGCAAAGTCATGCTAGAGCGACAAATCGCGGTGGCCACTTACTTAATCGATGTTTTCGCCCTAAGAGCAGGCGGTGAAAAGGCCGATGATGAGGCAGATACGGTTGGATGTTGTTCTCTGAGATACGAGCATGTGACGTTGAAGCCGCCGAACAACGTCATTTTCGATTTTCTAGGTAAGGATTCGATTCGCTTTTACCAAGAAGTGCAAGTCGACAAGCAAGTTTTCAAAAACTTGACCCTTTTCAAGAAGCCGCCCAAGAAGCCGAGCGACCAACTCTTTGACCGGCTGGATCCCTCGATCTTGAACAAGCAGCTCCAGAACTACATGCCGGGACTTACGGCCAAAGTGTTCCGTACTTACAATGCGTCCAAGACCATGCAGGACCAGCTGGATCTGATCAGCAACGAGGGCACGGTCGCGGAAAAAATGCTCAGATACAACGCGGCAAACAGAACCGTTGCGATCCTGTGTAACCACCAGCGGAGTGTCACCAAGGGCCATGCGGCGGCCGTGCAGAAGGCGACTGAAAAGATTGAAGAGTTGGAGTGGCAGAAAATTAGGCTGAAAAGGGCCATATTGGCGCTGGACAAAACTGAGCTCAAGAAAAATCCACGTTACTTCGAAGAAGTCGGCGATCTCGTCAAGGAGCAAGAGTCTGTCATTCACGCGCGCATCATTGAGCGGGAGCGCGAAAAATACAACAAGAAATTCGTCAGAGAAAACGAAAAGAGAAAATTCGATGGAGAACCGCCTTTACCCGAGTCGCAATTGCACGAGTGGCTAGAGAAAGTCGACGAACTCGAGAAGGAGTACGCAGAGGAACTCGAGACCGGCGTACAGCAGGTGAAAACGTCGCTACAAAACGTCGACAAACTTAAGGCTCAGATTGAAAAACTTGACCACAGAATAGAAACAAGTACCATTCAGCTGAAAGACCGCGAGGACAATTCGCAAGTCGCGCTCGGTACTTCGAAGATCAACTACATCGACCCACGCTTGTCGGTGGTTTTTTGCAAGAAATTCGACGTTCCCATCGAAAAAGTATTCACCAAATCGCTGCGGGAAAAATTCAAGTGGGCCATTGAATCTGCCGATGCAAACTGGCGATTTTAGCATTGAACATATACATACATGCCTCGTTTCTGTAATAACGCGTCTTCGCTGACTTCCATGCATGCTTCCGTTGCAGGGTTCTATGCATAGACCTGTCGATTTTCGGCGTTTCGCGTCAAGACGCGAAAACCAAGAAACGCGAAAACACACGGAATCGAAGCCTTGGGACATGATGACATTAATAAAAAGGCGAGCGTGGACGAACTCGGGACCGGGATGTGGGTCTTTCAATCACTGACGCTTGCTAAAGCTTTAATTTCGGTGCAATGAACAGGATTTTATGCTGGATGGCAGCCCTGTTGCTGCTGACAGAAAACGCGACTGCGATACACCATGAACATCGGTCGGCGATCACACTGATGCGGCGGAACAATCTGCCGAGTCTGAAAACCGTCACGACAACAACGTCGGCATCACCTACGTCCTTAAATGATTCAAGTACCACTGCTTTGTCCGGCTCTGCTGTGTCCGGTTCCAATACCACGACGATGACGACTAGCGCTTCGTCGTCGTCATCGTCATCGTACATTCCCACTTTTACACCGATTATTCCTTCAAACGACAATAACAAGAAGCTGATACGTGCACCGCAGCCTAATGGGACGGTTTTCATCGCTGTGGGCAGTTCGCTTGGGTTTCTGGCGCTCGCGTGCGGGCTTGCGTGGGCCGTGCTCGCATGCAAGTCGTGGCGTAGCGCATGCAAGGAACAACAAATGCAAGCGCTTGAATCCAAGCGCCAAACAGATCCGTTCATGTTCTATACGAACGACTACGTCGATTCCGATTCCAACAGCTCGCGAGGCTCCGACGTGTCTGAACGCGCGCTCAAGACGCGACTCTCGGCAAGACCCAGTATCTACTCTTTGGGTTCCACATCCACACTAAATCTGTTGCAGAAACACGCTGCCGTAGCAGGGTCTGCAACGGGACCTGCGACGGTGCCTACGCCGTCGCTGAACCCCAACCGGGCCTCGATGTTCGTGTCTCCAACGGAACTGATGCAAAATCATACACATGCGCGCAGCGCGTTCACGCTGGGCGACTCCAGCGCCGGATCGTCGGCCATGAACACACCTACACTTCCGATCAACGTCGTAGATGCTGCCAACGCGCAGAAGGACCGCCAGCCCCAGCAAAGTTTCCGTCCTCCCAGCGTACATCTCGAAAAGCTGTTCGACGACGATGAGTGATGGCGAGCGACGCAACACACACACACATTATAGAAATTGCATGCTGTTATTACGTGTCACACGTTGTCACGACTACTACGGTTGGTTTCAAGAGACTATTGGGCTACACGTCAAGACGACTACTACGCCCAAAAATGGACGTTAAACTTCGCCAAAAATGGGAATCTGGGCAAAGCAATCATGCTCAGTTCAATGCAGGCTACGCAAGCTGTGCTTTAATCCCCCTAAGACCACACAATCGTGATTTTTCTAAGAGCTCCATCTCACCATCAGCTCGTGGAATATCTCCGAACTCGGAGGAGCTTATAAGATTTCGTTACGTATATAATGATTCGTTTTCCATTCGAGAGTATAAATTGAGCAGGCCTCATAACCCATTTGCCACATGGGATTCGAAGCGCATCTCAACCAACAAACACAAGATATTAATAAAAAATGGCCCGTTCCAGAGGTTCCGTGAGATCCAGACCAGCACCAGCACCAACGCAAAGACGTTCGGCTTCAACGATGGCTGCCCCTGCACACAGCCAGCAGGGCCAGCACGCTGCCCAGCCTTCGGCGTACTCGCAACCGCAAGCTACTGCTCAGGGGAGACAACCGGGCATGTTTGCACAAATGGCTTCGACTGCGGCCGGTGTTGCCGTCGGAAGCGCCGTGGGCCACACTATCGGTGCCGGATTGACGGGTATGTTTTCTGGGTCCGGATCTGAAGCTGCAGAACAGCAGCCCCAGCAGTTGCAACAGCAACCACAACAGCAGTCGTTTGCGCAGGAGCAGGGTAGGTTCTGCGACGTGGACGCGAGAAATTTCACACGCTGTCTCGAGGAAAACAGCGGGAACATGCAGATCTGCGATTTTTACTTGCAGCAGTTGAAGGCGTGCCAGGAAGCTGCCCGTCAGTATTAAGCGTGTCTGCGCCTTCTCTCTTCTCCTCCTCCTCCTCTCTCTCCCCTCATATATTCTCAAATTGAAACCCTGTTTTAAGTGATTTTTTTTTCCTCGTCTGTTCCAGCTGGAAACGCCGCGTCACTGCACATTCCACCATGTACATAGGCCAGCGACTGGAGCGATAGCCGCTAGCGGACCGCAGACGCACGTTACGGTGATTGCTCGGCTAGGGGCGGAAATGGTATGGTCACGTGGATATTGTTATCACGTGATAGTTACAAGTTGTTTCGTATTCAATGACCATAAGTCCCCAATTTGCTTTGATCCGGACAATATATTATATGTAAACAAACTTGGCATCGCCTCCATAAGGGTTCTCAATCCGTAAAAAACCCATATTCTACCCTTATTCTACCACCATAACCGGTTAGAAATCACTTTTTGAATCATGACATCACTTGCAAGACAAGCAGCGAGTTCCGGGCTCAAATTTGGTGCCCTGGGACGATCATTTTACCCCACACAACGTGGACAGCTTTGGCAACAAACGATGCGGCGTAGTGTGCACAACACGAGCGCTCAGAGTCACACTACGATCCTGAGCAGCGACAAGCTTGCCTCTTTCAATATCATGAGCTTGAAAGCGTTAAAAAATGAATGTCGATCGCGCGGACTGAAAGTTTCTGGCAAAAAACTCGAGCTTGTAGAGCGGATTATGGCCGCTGAGAGCCAAGGTGTGCTTTCCAGAGGCACTCTAGGCGCCGTCGGTGCGCGTAAAATTCATGTAAGCGCCCTTTTGCAAAAAGACACGCGGGCTGGGGCTACGAAACCCGTAGATGCAGTGAAGATGCCCGACGTTGCTGCGACCGAAGCATCCGTGTCTGCACCAGAAAAGGACTACATTTTACAGATCCCTCCGCTGTCAAAAAACGCCGCGCAAAAACCCGTGACAAACCTCGAAAAACAGCTCAGTGAGCGCAACAACGCCGACAGCACCAATGGGTTTCCCGAAGTGTCTACGCCGGATCAAGAAAAGGTCATTTTTCAGTCCGAAGCGCCCGAAGCGACCGTCGAGATCGTGAACGAGGAATTTGAAACCGCCAAGGACACGAATACGCCAACCATGAGTGCACAAGGCGGGTCTAGCAAGGAATTTAGCGGGCGTGACAAGACGTTTTTCTTGGGGTTCGTGACGGCGGTCACAGGCTGGTGGTCGCTCAAATTGTGGGAATAAATTGGCAATTTTATCTTCTTTTCTTGTTCTTTTTTTTTGACTTCTATTCACTTTAGTCTCTACTACGGAACGCGGTCTTTATGGATATCTATTATGACATGTGGTTGGTGCACAGGGTAGTCGAGTCATGCGGACGTCGCTTCGGACTCTTTGCGAACGAGAAATATACGCTTTTCGAAAGCTTTCATCACGATTTGAGCCATACTTTTGCCGAAGATGGATGCAACACTGTTATACAGGCTCGATTTGAATTGATAGCTTATCGTGAGTTCAACTGCACTGGCATTGGGTCTTGTAGGATGCTGCTCAATGGTCCATTTCGTTTGCAAGAATGTGAACAAACTATGCGTGACGGACTCAGCTACCACTCTCCAAGAATTATTGGATGTTGGAATACAGGAAACTTTGCAAGCAAACGTCTCATCGTAGTTTCGAAATTGGACTCGTAAACCTGCCGCTTCGGGTACGCGGGAACTCTTGTTTTTTTGGCTTACATACGACTCAACGCAATACGGCATGAACTCTTGGTATCGTGCTATGTCAGATATTACCTGGTACACAATTGGTACTTGCGCATTGACAGATTTCTTGAGCACGACGGTTTGATTTTTTGTCTCGAAATGAGTTCCCAGGAACGTTCTTGCACAGTAATGTATATGTACCGGACACAATCGCTTTGGCACAACTCCGCTACAGGAGTGTATCATAAGCTAGGTTTCAGGCGCCTTTGAGTTTCTATTGGTTGGTTTATTGACCTTTAAACGAAATCTCGAATTTTCATAGGCTCGATGTGAAGAGAAAAATTGACAAACCTCGCTATCAAGTCAAGGCGATGAGCTTCGAATTCGACTAGATGTCCTTCGAGATCAACTGGGAAAACGTCGGAAAGGATGCGGGCATCAACTTCTCGATCAAAAGTTTTATAAACTCGCACCTGGAATCGATCGAGCTTCCCAGCTACGTGAGAAGCCTACAAGTGACGAAATTTGATTTTGGTAGTACGCCGCCAAATGTGATCTTGAAGGAGATATCAGACCCATTAGAGGATTTTTATCAGGCAGTTGCCGAAGACCAAGATGGTGAGATTCCAATGCCACCGTTATTGGATCCCTCATTAGAAAATTGCGAGACTGGCGGTGACAAAGAAAGCGATGTACAATTTTTAGTGGAATTTGATTACAAGGGAAACATGGTGATTGAAGTCTGCGCGGAACTTGTTTTGAACTATCCTAGCCCCTCGTTCATGACTTTGCCTGTCAAACTTTCCATCAGTGACATCGGAATTCACTCGCTGTGCTTGATAGCGTATCTTGCCAAACAAGTCTTTGTGAGTTTCCTGTGCGACGTGAGCGACCCGATCCTGGATTCTAAAGATTCATTAATGGATGCTTCGAGTGCCAATTTTCTTGGAAAACGTTCCTTAGAGAGAATTTCGCTCATCCGAAGCATCAAAATCAGCAGTGAAGTTGGAGAACACAACAATGGTGAGGGATCTGTGTTACGAAGCGTCGGCAAACTTGAACAGTTTCTCCTGGAAGTGGTCAAAAATATGCTACGAAACGAAGCCGCTTGGCCCAGCTGGATTAATCTGGATTTTAACGACGAACATGACGACGACAACGACAACGACAACGACAACGAAGACGCGCGCGATGAGAAACCTACCTAAATTGATAGCACTATATAAATAATGCTACTTGTTACTGAAATATATTTTAAATCAGAGGTTCGAAACCGGATATATTTGATTTTTCACTACTAGTGTATTGTTCATGGTTGATTGTCCTGGTTCCTTAAATTTTGACATATAACGAAAACCTAAAGTTGGATCTGAACAACCAACAATCTAGACGTTAGCCTACTCTATATGAGCTTCTTAGAAGACAGCGATCCCTGGAACAGTGATAATTCGGGTACAGGGCCTGTTAATCGGAACGAATGGGCGGATTTGAACGCTAGCTCACTTACTTCTTCGTCAGTTTTGAATTCCGATGTTTTGACTTCGCGAGTTAATGGGTTAACATTGAACGCAGATCATCAAACCACTGTGGCAGATGTAACAGAATCTCAAGATGCATGGGTTGCTTCCACAGGTGGTGATGATACTTTCCAAAACTTTACCGACGGTTCTCAAGACGTTTATAAAAGAGGAAACGGATTATTTCAAGACAATGAGCCACAGAATGCAACAGAAGAAGAAGGAGGATTCGATTTCCAAGTTTGGGCCCAAAATTCACGTAAGAACTACAATCCATTGTCTGCCGATATAGTTCAAATCGAAGAAATACCTGCAAGAGAAGGTATATTGTTCAAACACACGAACTACATCGTCAAACATCTCGTTGAGCTGCCCAACACGGATGCTCCAGAAGACCGAAGCGTGATAAGACGGTATTCGGATTTTGCATGGTTACAAGAGGTTCTGTTGAAGAAATATCCTTTCAGATTGATAACGGACCTGCCCCCAAAGAAAATAGCGTCTCACAATGCAGACGCCATTTTTTTGGAGAAGAGGCGAAAGGGCCTCACGCGGTTCATCAACATCCTGATGAAACATCCGGTACTCAGCAAAGATGATCTGGTGTTGACTTTTTTGACAGTTCCTACGGATTTGCTGAGTTGGCGTAAAAGGGCGAGTTACGATACCACTGAAGAGTTCACTGACAGAAAAATCTCTTTGTCCTTTATAAAGATGTGGCATCCAAATTTTGCCTTGGCATGGAATGAAGCGGACGAGTCTATAGACAGTGCTCTGGAAGCATGGGCTAGAATTACAATTCTAGTCGAAAGGCTCGAGAAACGGCAGAAGTTTATTTCGCAAGACCGTGCTCTTATGGCAGGTATCGTGTCCCAGTTTCAGAGTACTGCTCCAACATTGTATTCGGGTGACATTTCGACTATGCAAGACATAAACGGGCATTTGAACGCAGTCGCGAAGCACCTGCAAGCCTGCAATGAACTGAGCGAGAAAAAAAGTGAAGAATTGTTTTTGACCGTTTCCCCCAAATTTAAGGCATTCATTGACGTTCTTCTTTCTCTGAAGGGTCTCTTTGAAAGGTATAAAGCCATGGCAGGGAACAATGTGCCTCAATTGAGAAGGCGCATTGAAGTGAATACAGACCGATTGGATCAAATGAAGGATAAGCCTGATATCAGGGGTGCGGAATATGATAGAGTCAAACAGTCAATTCTGCATGACAGAAGACTCATAGCTGAGCAATTAAACAGAAATTGGCTTATACGAGAATGCATTTTACAAGAGTTCACAATTTTCCAAGAAACGCAATATCTCATTACGAGCTGCTTTCAGTCGTGGATTCGATTAAATATGCAATACAGTGAATTAAATGCGAACGAATGGGAGAAGATTTTCCAAAATGTCTTAACAATGCCGCTGTCCAGGAACTGAGTGGCGAGCACAGAGAGGAAAAGGAATTGAGCTTAGCAATCTATGCAATTTTTTTATTTGTGTTGGTAAAACCAATGCCTTTTATAGTCAGGATCAAATCGTCTGAGTTTGTCTCATTAACCGGTTTCAAAATAGCCTCTATGCCAAAGACATGTTTAATGTCCCTCAATAGTCCGATAAATCTCTCGTCAACTTGGTCTTTAGTAATTCTTAATCTCCCAATATCTTCTTTGCCGATTACCATGAACACCATCGCCAACGGTAGCTGACTTCTGCCCACGACGGAACTCTTGGAAATCTCTTCGAGTAACTGGTAAGCAAGCCCACATGCCATGTCCTCCGGAATCGCACCGGGACCACCGATATCTTCTACGAAATACCGCCAACCCTGCTTATTCTCTGCAACCAACGTGAGCCCCCAACCGGGACTCTTACCAGAATTATCGCCTCTCCATACATCTGCAGTGATATTGACTTCGCAACCCACATCCTTAAGCACTTTTTTCGCGCCGTCAACCATCCGATTAACAATGGAAGGGCTCACTCTTGTCGAGTAAGCGACGCCTCTGATCGACGATATGAGTGGAGTTTCTAAAGCATGTATTGTAATGGGCTGTGCAATCAAAGAATCCACGATTAAATGTACTTCTCCGCCGCCTAGTGGTGGGGAACCGCGCTTAAGCGTATGCAAAGCGCATTCTCTCACACCGAATTTCTCCATCACTGGTAAAAGCCCCCATTTGATAGCTTCAATGCCAGCATCTGTGTGGGAAGCCGTAATGCCCCGGAACAGGATCGAAAACTTTTTTTTTGAGAACGGAGCCAAATACAACATGGGTTCCACGAAATAACCCACTGGTTTCCCCGCCGGACAATTGTGCGTGTAACTACCACCCGTAATAATACCCGGACGGTAGATAACCGTCGTACCCGTGTACGAGATCTCGATCGAACTCCCGTTCGTCATTGCTTCCATCAATCTCAAGAAAGACACCTCATGATCTCTTAATCCTGGGTTTAAATCTTCCGACCGTATTTTCTCGACCTTAATGGGCCTTCCAGACAGCGTTGAAAGCACAATCCGCAACCTGAAATTTCTTGCTCCTTGCAAAACAACATAATTTCCAGGTGCCATCCTATCAACCCACTTCTTAAACGCTAACTTTAACAAACTTCAACAATATGTTTAAGCGACGAGCTTTAAGGCGATGAGCTCCCAAGTTGTCAAAAATTTTCATGCACTCCCGTACGAAGGTACATCCAATTTCAAGAAATATTTGGAAACTTGCGAAAGCCGAATTATCACAACTCAGGATACATATAGAAAGCTTAGGAGGCAACGAACCAACTGGGCTTTAGGATCACAGTTTCCAGTATGGCCAAATCACCAAAAAGAGGATCCAGCAATGTACGAGATGAAAACAGCGCAAAAAAGCCGAAAACGGAGCCCTCGGACACGGTTTCAAATGGGGAAGGACCTGCATTTGAATTGGGTGCTGGCAGTCGACATGCGAGTTTAGATCCCGGATCATCGGATTTTTCAACAAACTTGCCGACCCCGTTTGATAATTTGGATGAAGAAGAAGGTCAGGACGCGAATTTGCCGGAAAGCTCAGCTCCTGCGACGAATTTAGTTGACATGCCTAAGAAGAGTGACCAAGGTCTTGCATTGCCACAAAAGACTAACAAAAAGTTGGGAAGTGTGCAGAATCAGGGAAGCGGCACTGGACAGAGCTCTTCGAAAATCACGGATCCTGATAAATTAAGCGATGCACTTTTGTCGGCAGGTGTGGACATTCGCGAAGAAGAAGCGTTGTTGAGTTCTACGGTGAGCATGGGTAAACCCGGCGCCACCGCAGCCAACACGCAGATTCCAAGCCATCCTCCAGTGTTGCATCCAGCGCATGTGGCTGGGTACATGAAAAAGGTTGCTGGTGAACAGAATTTCTACCAGGATTTCAGCAAATCGACCGATGTGGTGGGGATGGTTTCTGCCGCGTGTGAAACGTTTATGCGAGATATCATCACGAACTCACTGGTCGTATCGAGGCACCGCAGGCGGTCGGTCAAGTTGAATGTTGGCAGGAAAAGTGAAGTCTCGCGTCTTTTGCGGGATCTCGCTGTCAAACAGAAGGAGCAAGAAGAACGAAGAGTCAAGAGACGGATTGCCATGGGGCTAGAAAAGGAGGCCGCTGAAGATAAGCTCGAGACAGAAGAGACTTTGCATCGCGCTTCGAACGCTACGGCGAACATGATGATAGCAGGCGGCAAGAAAAAATACAGTTGGTTGAATGCGGGTAGCAAGAATACCAACAACGCAGTGAAAGTCGTCGGAAAAGTCTCCTCTGACGTTGCCGCGAGAGGCGAAATCGGTATTCGTTACAGAGAAGCGAGAGAGGAACCCGGAATTGTTATGCGTGATCTCATGAGTGCTTTGGAAAATCGACGTATGGGCGTCAGTTCGGTAATATCCAAGGGCTACGCAAGGATACGCGATTAGTCATATTTGCATGGGCGAAAAAAAGAATGATGTGCTGTATATATTGGAACGACTCGCAAAGCTATTTAATGAATCAAAGCTTCTAATGATTGAAGAATTGAGCAGTGGTGGTCTTCAACATGTGGCTATCACACAAAGAATACAACCAAAAAATTGATTTCGCCCAGGATCGAACTGGGGACGTTCTGCGTGTTAAGCAGATGCCATAACCAACTAGACCACGAAACCAACTTGTTGGAGAACGGAGGAGACTGAGTGGTAGCAGTACTTCAAGCAAACAGTACTTTGGATTTTGGTGATAATTGCGAGCATCTCGGAATCTTTGCCAGTCGAGCGGATACTGATCTTTTAGGTTTTTAATCCATTGATTGTGCTGCTGTGGACATGGCGATTACACTTTACCTAGGTTTCACACGGGGCATTGAGGTTAATCAATTAGGTTTTGGTCTATATGTTATCTACTGGTCGTAGGGCAAATCAATGTAACGTTTAGACGAACTCGCAGCTTTAAAACCCCAATTCCGCGATTGCCTGCCATGACCTGGCATGTTTCATTTTTTATGCCAAGTATCAGTTTCGTGAATATCTATTAAGTCATGGTTCTCACTAGGCTGTTAGCTCGCATCTCGCTGCCTTGATGTTGGCAATTCTTGAATGCAACAGCCTTCAGAAAATCATATAATTAACCTCGCCAATGAGTAGCAGTCAAAAGGATACAAATCTATACTTGCGTGCCCCAGAGTTTGTCGATTGTCATAAACTACTTTAATCTTAATGTTTTTTGGAGATAAAGTGACCTTTGCTCTCAACGAGGCCAACGAAATCCTAGTGTAAACAAAAAAAATATCATGAAGAGCACTCTGCCGTGCCACGTTGCTGTCAATAACGGCATCATATCATATTTGTTTGAATTTCAATTCTATGTATTGTCTTTTTCAAATTTAACTAAACCCTAATTCAAGGATCAAATGCAGAGTCCGCCAACAAGGGCACCTATAGCAGCAGCGGCGAGCACGTACGCATTTGTGTAGGCCTTGGGGACAGCAAGCATTGTAGCATCCGACTTCTTGGAGCTGGCGGATGAACTAGAAGAACTAGAAGAGCTAGAAGACGAAGTAGCCGCAGAACTATCGGTAGTGAAGCTGGCAGATCCTGTGTAAGGGTTAACAGTAGTAATATCGGCTGATTTGTTCGTAGTTTTACCATCCCAACAGTAATCAGTAAAACACTGATTACATTCGGATGGGAGTGTGTAGTTGGAAGCCTGTTGTTGTCTCTTCATAATAGCACATGCGACACAGCCCATGAATCCAGAGTCATCAGTCAAATTGTTTCTGGTAATGGCCTCAAACCCGTTCTTGAACATGCTCAAACGTTCCGTGGAACTATAGGACATCTTGAACGTGCTTGTGTTCGAGTTATAGGATTGACGGTTGTTTGGCATGTAGACAATAAGAGGTGGAGTGTACCTTAGGTCAGTCAAATTTGAAGCATCGCATCCAAAAAACACTGGACGTTCGTTTAAACCCAAGTTATAGAACGTATCAACGTCTGGGACGTAAGGAAAGGCAATATCGAGACCTTGGTACCCAAATTGCCGTTCGTAAGTGCTAATCAGGGACAAACCCGCCGGCCAGCTCTCGTCAGTGTCGGCACTATTATCAAGTGCGAAAATGACATCAAGATCACGGTCTTGTTGTAGCAATGGGACCAAAGGAATGTTTTGGCCATCTTCACCACCATCAACAAGATACAGAATATCAGATTCAGAGATGCTCTTAGTGTAGTTGTCGGGCATGAACTCGGTTCCCTTAAAAGGATTTGGCTGGTAAAGCGCGATGTCATCGGAATCATGAGAAAGGTCTGTCAAGATGCCATGTAACAAGCTCTTCAAGAAAGAGGGCAAAGATGTTGTGTTCAATCCGAGCAAGAATTGGTTGAACAAAGTAGACGAAGTACCAAGCACAAACCCAGTGTTATCGTAACCGTTGACGCAGGTACCTTTATTAACAGGGGTTCCGTTGTTGACCTGTGTACCCAAAAACTTGACGTCGGTGAATGCACGCAAAGAATAATCCCAGGACCCCATTTCGAATGGATTGAATTCGAACAAAGTCGCATTCAAGTTAATGACAGTAGACCCCGGATATCTCCCATCTGCTACCGTGATTGGGAAAGGCATTTCCCCATTCTTGAAGACATCTGCTTCTCTTAGTGTCGACCAGGTATAACCGACCCCACCGCGGTAAAGCGTGGGGAAGAATTCGTACGACAAGGATCTGCCCCAAACGTCCGTCAAAGAAACGTTGAATCCAGCGTCTTGTTTAGCTTGAACTGCGTCAGAAATATGATCCCATCTGGAAATCGAGCTTACAATATTGACACCGCCTGGATTGATTAGGGAGTTAGAGATATCCCACAACTGATCATCATTACCATTGGAATTGATGACGTCTTGTACAGAGGTCCAGTTGTTCCATGCCAACGACCCCACAAGCCAATTCCCACCGGAGAGCCCTGCTAAGTAAGTAGCACTTTGTAAAAGTCCACCTAGTCCGTGATCATTGGCACCGTCGGTCCGATTATCCATAGCCGAAAGCATTCCAGCGCCACTCAACATGGCTCGGTAACCACCACCAGAACATGCAATACCGATTTTGGGGATCTTCTTCTGGTCCCAGAGTTGACCAACTAGGGAAGAATTGGTAAAATTCTTCGTCGCCCGATCCAAAAACTCCCGTAACGCGGCTTCCGCAATCGGATTACGTTTCTGGAGCCAGTCAGTTTCATTATCGGACAATCCGGATGCTTTACGCACTAAATTGATGTCGGTATCGCAGGTCACATTGGCGGGAACATAACTATTGTTAGGAGACCATGCTTGGACCAAATTCAACGCTAGCAAGACCAGGAAAAAAGTCCCAGAAAGCTTGCAAATGTGGCAATTCATCTGTAGAATCGCAGCTGAGATTTAATGAGGTTATGAATGGTATTTTAGGACTTCGCTTGTAATTCTAAAAATGCAGGGAAGAAGGTATTCTTAGTAACAGAAAGTTTTTCAATTTATACAGTTTGTATGCAGAGAACAATTAGAATCGGAGTTTTTGGAATGGGAAAAAGCACCGCAGGAGACGGAATTCAATGAGCTCCACGTGAGATTCGAGTAACTGAGCTTTTTGGTAACATGTACCTCTTTTCAGCCAAGCTTTTGGATCAGATTTGCTTATTTCAAGAGAATTCATGGATTTGGAAGGTAACCGGGGCTGTTGGCAGAGAAAGTGGGACGACAGAAAGAATTTAGCATTTACAGAGGTGTATTGACGTTTCCTAGGCAAATTAAACTCATATGGTGCTTTTTTCAAAGGGTTGGGGTGTTTTTGGTGCTGTCAGTGTTTTTGGTAATTCTACAGTGAAAAAGTCGATAATCGGCTTAAATATGATGTCGCATGGAAACTTTTACAAGAATTGCGATTATGGAGAATTTCACGGTACTTATTCGGCAATCGTTTGAGAGGAATTCCGAGCATGTTATGGTTCATCGACAACTTGTCAAAACTTCACCGTAAAAGGTGGCAAATGCACGCGATTCATGGACCTGGTATTTCAATGAGGATGTTACAGGATGAAGGGCAGAGAACTTCAACTAGAGACCTTTCAGACGCCAACTATTTCAATTTCCGTTGAAAAACTCGAAAACAACTCCAGAAAGCGGTAGAAAGTCGCTGAAAAGGCAGCATAGACGATAAAACGAAATTCAATGGCTCAGTTAAACAACTCATGCTCTGGACTCTCAGCAGCTGGTCATGATGCCGATTTTCGAGTTCAGTGATAGCGCCGCATCAGATCTATGGTTGGTCACATCTGACGACCACGTATAAAGGCACATCATGATTCAATTTCAAATATCAACAAGCAAAACAAACAAACACGGTTGACGAAGAGTAACGAACAAACACACACTTAAACAAGTGCTTAGCCGAGTGATTCAGTATAGTTAACCTGGTTTAAGGCTTTGAATTTCAATTTTACAAGGTTTAGCTGACAAAATGTCTGGAAAAGTACACGGTGGAAAAGGTAAATCTGGTGCGAAAAGTGGGTCGAATATACGCGCGACAACTCATTCTGCGCGTGCAGGTCTGCAATTTCCAGTGGGTAGAATCAAGCGGTATTTGAAACGGAATGCTGCCGGAAGGTCAAGAGTTGGCTCTAAAGCTGCTATTTATTTGACCGCAGTGCTTGAATATTTGACTGCAGAAGTTTTGGAATTGGCAGGGAACGCAGCAAAGGATTTGAAAGTGAAAAGAATAACGCCGCGTCATTTGCAACTTGCCATCCGTGGTGATGACGAGTTGGACACGCTGATTAGAGCCACTATCGCGTCAGGAGGTGTGTTACCACATATCAACAAGGCCTTATTGTTGAAAGTTGAAAAGAAGACGAAGGCGTGATTTGGAAATCGGGCATCCACATGCCCGTATGTATATGTCGAATGTATAAGTAGTGCAATTTAGAAAACAGAAGAATCCTCGGGTACTTTATTTACAAGGTGGGTGTGGTGATGGTGGTGTGGTTCGTCGTTGTAAACTGTCTATCGCACGTTTTTGGCGGCCAATAGTGGCAACCAGTTCTTCTATCTCACCCTGCAGATAACTGATGTCTTGCGACACCTGTTCACGTCGATTCAATTCTTTGGTGCGCTGCCGTAACGTTTCCCACACGACTACACTACCCGTGACTCCGAACACGAACGCTTCGCTTAACAATGTGGCACCGTTCTCAACGGCACGTGTATCGTTCAAAGGCCGAATCTTTATATCTTGTTTCGTATTGACGAGTCGCGTTCTAAGTCGGAAATCGACCCGATGCATTCGTTGGGCAAGCTCAACGCACACACGTTTGAAAGTATCGTGTTGTTTCGCTTGCGCTTTCAAAATGTTCGCCACGGGCCTAGTCACTTGCCGAATAAGCAAAGTGCCCAGTTTGATAGCTATCGCGCTCATTCTGATGGCAACAGCGCTATGCGTTGGGTTACCTGCTTGAGTTGGCTAGGGTCTTGAGACTGTGATATCCTGGTAACGTGACGAGATATATGCCACAACGTACAAAGAGACATACTTCTAACATCCTTTCAAGGGCATGGAAACCGGGGCTTTTGGACT